TATAAAACATAAAACCTGCATTTAAAGCAACTAGATCAACACTTTCTTAACTTATTTCAGCACGTTCGCTAATATAAATAATATACATAGAACTACTTTCCCAACAATAACAACAATCAGTTAAGCTTCCTAAAGTTTCTTTTGAATTTTGGAGTAGGGTTACCACCTCAAGGTCTTTAAACAACATCATTTTCATTAAAAAGACTAAAATCGGGGTCGCCACTTGTTAGACCCAAGCTTTTTTCCTTAAGTAATTTCTGGTATTTCTCGGCTAGTTGTTAAAGGTACGACAACTATGCCAGATATAAAGCAGCTCCACTTTTATGATATCTGCCGATATTCTCGCTCAAGGTTGCCATCTTAAGCGAACATTACGTGGCACATTAAACAGTTTACATTTTTCAAATGTCACATATGCATTAACAATAAAATCAACATTGTTATCACAAAGTATTATTAACTATCAAGCTGGCGAGCACTCTTACATCTTACAAAGTCGTCTATTTGTTTTTCCAGTGCATGAAAGAGTTTAATTTGAGTATTTGTCGTGTGTGTGTAATTAAAGTAGCCGTGGCACTGCCATTACCAATATTAAGTATACAATTAGCAACTGTACTTTGCCACTGGTCTTGAGTATTTCATTTCATTTCTATTTTGTTTCATTTGCTTCCTCAACATGAAATGGACATATTGCGTTTGTGGTTGCTTTATAAAATTTTCTCGCATTTTGTTGTTATTTTTGTTGCTTATTTTATAGGGTTAAGAAAGCGTTACGAAATGAATTTTCAACAGGCAGTCGGCGTTTTGAGAGTGACGTGCAATTCAACCTCCATTGCCCTGCAAGTCAGAGTCAGTTACTTGCAACATATATTTATATTTCTCGCTCTCTCCCTCTCCCTCTCTCCCTCTCTCTATTGCTATCTAGCCAATTGAAAGAAAGCTCTTTGGGCCACAGAGATTTGTGTCAAAAATGACTGTTAAATGTTTTTATTATTATTTTTTTTTCGTATTTTCTTATTGTAATTGTTGCCATTTTGCCTGCTCATGTTTTTTCTTTGCACAAGCAGCATTTTTATCGCGGCAGACAGAGTTTACTGTGTTAATGGACCCTTTGTGCTGATGGCGCGAACTTAAGTGCTTTACCCTTGCAACATACTCCGAATGCAGAGAAACCCGAATTGTAATTGTGGAAAAATTAAATAAATGTGGATACATATTTGAGTATAAACGAAAACCTTAATTATTAAAGCCAAACCCAGTCCGAAACAAACAAAAATAAACTCTTTTCAGGGTGCCAATGATACATTTGTTTCTCTCTCTTCCTTAGATTTTGTATAACAACAAGCGTAACTTTTCTATGAACATTTTCTGCTACTTTACGATACCCTATAAAAAAGCAATTGGAGCCAGATTTCACTATTTATAATTTTTTTTTTCGCTGACAAGCTATAAAACAATTCAATGCCAACATTAATCGAGTTAATGACACACAATTCAAATAGGCAAGTTTTAAGGCAATATAAAACGTATGTATAATACGTAGTACGTATAATGAGGCAGTCGAAGAGATCCCAACACAGAAGTGTAAAAATAGAGAACTGAATAAAATTGCAAATTGTGATTGTTCACATTCCGTGTTTCATAATTATATGAACAACAGGTAGCAGGCGGTGCAAAGACGTTAAGATCGGAGAGGTGGGAGGTAGGCAGATCAACTCAAATACTATATAACATACACACGGAAATTTGGAATCAGCACACCCACAAACAACATATAAGCTGATAGATAAATAAATATAAGCCACGTGTACCTCTAGTAATTTGCATATGCATATGTGTACATAGAATAAACGCAATATTTATTGAACAGCTCTAGACTTGTAAGCATATACACATATTTTACAATAGAGTGCACATTGAACTCTAATCTTGTTTATTACATAATGCTTGTAATAATTCACCTGGCCGGTGTATAGTAGGTGTATTCACGATTGTGCCCATTTGATAATCAATTGCAAAACCAAGGCAATGAAGCTGTCCCCTTGTTGCAATTGTTTTAGCTTTTACTGGATTTATTTTGGCTGTGCTTTGTTTTCAGGTACATTTTTAAAAATTGTTGCATAGCTTAAATGTATTGTTGTCTATTTTAAATATAGCGTTGCCACATAGTGAAAATGTCATTTGGAAGACCTAAGAAATCCGGCAACTATTGCGCTGAAGACTTAGCTACAAACAATGCTTTTCTTTTTAAGTATGTATGTAAAAAGAGACTGATATACTTTGGCCACACTTGCCTTGATTTATTAGCCAGCGACTTCGCTCAGAATCGCAAGACAAAAGCAAAACAAAGGAAAGTAGCCGCAAAGCCACAAAAAAAAAAACAAGACACACACACACACTTTAACACAAACAATAACGGCAACAATGAAGCACCAGGAAGCATCTGACGGATTACACATGTGCAGTCAATGAAAGAAAATGAGTGCGAGAGTGAGAGGACGCAGACAGAGTGCAAAAACTATGCTGCATTTTCTATTTCATTCATTCGCCTGCTGACTTTGCCGCCTCTTCTACTACTTTGATGTTGGAAAACGTAACGTTATTTACGAGGTTTGCAAGGCAAGAGTAGGCAAACAAAGAAGTGTGTTAGTGAACAGCGCAAAAAGAAAAGCAAGACTAAAAAGAAATTGCAACAACAACACAAAACACTAGGGAAGCAACCGGAAAGTGAAGCAACTCAAAAAGCTGCTTCAATTTATTTGTATTATATGCATACATACATACATATGTGCAAAAACAAAAGGAGAGAGAGGAACAAAAATTAATTCCACGATGCATTAGTATGCGCATGCATGTGTACACATGCACATATGTGCATTTCCAGTGGCTTATGTGCATATAAAAAAAACTTTAATGAATTTATTGCATTGCAGTGCAGCGAGCGTAGAAATTTTCAATTAAACGCAAAGGAAAATTGTACTATAAAAACAGCTATAAAAATTGGGTAAAGCAGAAGAAATTGATAAATGGGAAATGGGAAGCACCTAAATCGATTGAGCCATGCTGAACCAAAGTGATGTGCATGTGTGTGTGTGTGTGTGTGCGATATTAACTTGGACGTAGGCCCATATTGTGGGTAATACCAAACGAATTGACCGTGTATGCCGTTAGATAATCACGTATATGTACAAATGTGTGTCTTTAATCTAACTGCATTTGCCATACCCTCTAATGTTCCTGACACAAATTTTTTAGATGTTTAACTGTACCTTATATATACGTACATATTTATATGCATATGGTCCGTCATATCGGATTTAATCGGGCGAGCTCTATTCTATTATACCAATTTTAAATCTTGTCTAATCTCTACAGTTATTTTATATGCAAGCGAGATAGAAGGCTACAATTCCAGAATCAAATCAATAATACAAACATGACAGATTGCCAAAAGCTTTCTTTTTCTAAACAACAAAATAAAAATGATATAAAATTATAAATTATTACAGCATATTTATAATTAAACAATTTCCTTAACCCTATTTCTGTAAATTGTCACAAATTACCCAGTATAGTTAATATTTTACATCATTTTGAAAATGACTTCCACTTGACGAGGTCACAAATATAAGACTCTGATTTTAAACTGATTTTTAAATGGATTTTTGCGTGTAAATTGCTTCTAATTTCATTTTATACACTTCACATTTGTATATGTATTTGAACATAGCTTGTGAAATGAGCAGAGCGGACGGCAATCAAAACGTCAAGCAGATTGATAGATTGACGTGCGATTGCAGTTAAGAGCAACAAGGGAAGATACAACACTTAAATCGTGAGTGTGGGGGGGGAGTGAAACATTATTTTTGGAACAGTATAAAATGAAAAAGATCTTAACGGGACACATTATATTTCCAGGAAGCACCGTGAGAGCGTCAAGCGATTCGTCTTGCGCCTAAATTTAGAATTCAATGAATTTGTATTTGGAAATTTCTTTTATTTTGAGTGATGTTTGAGGCTAAAAATAACTAAAACTGAAATGCTCGATACAATACTAATAAAAAATCTGATATATCTAATTAGACTCGAGTCGATTTGTGCAATGCTTATAATTGGAAGAGTTTTCAATTGGAAATTCCAGGTTTTTTTCCATTGAAATGAGCTGCCTGGCAAAACAACAAAAATTCCCAGTCAACGCGGCCATTTTCAAAGTCGTCTCAGACAATTACATACGTACACATATATATACACGTATTACTAAATACGTATACATATGTATGTACATATATACATACATGCCTTTATTAAAATCAAGAACAGAATCAAAATTACTATACGTAGTTCGCAATTTACAACACGAACAGACTGATGGCTACTGTTGTTCTTGTTGTCGTTGTGTTGTTTCTTTTTGTTGTTATTGTTTGTGCTGTATCAAGTGTTGTGTTCCGCACATGTTGCCAATTTGTATAGTGTGGGTAACGTATGCAGTTTTCACATCTTAATGCAACTGCCTGCGCGCTAGTGTTGGTAAATGTTGCGGCTGTTGTTGTTGTGCTAGCTGGTTTCCAACTTCTGCCAACGTCAGCGAATTAATCATGCAAGCCCCAGTGCCAGCGATTACAATAGCTAACTACGAATGAGGAAAATAAAAATTGCGGTTAAAACGCAGCTGGCCGTGTGTGTGAGAGGGAGAGGAAAAGAGACTGAGCCAGCCAGGGCCAAAGCAGCACTGTGATGACGTCACAAGCGCACACAGCCGCACGCTACTTCTCGCTGCTTGACACCATTTTCGCTATTGCTCTTAATTAATTACAGGTCTCCTTCATTATATTTTTTCTTTGTAATATATTTTTAAATGATAAGCAGAGACCAACACAGAGTGAGACGCTCCAACTATTATCATAATTATAGAACTGAAGTGTGTGCGTGTGTGTGAGAGTACTAACAAATGCAAATTAGGTTATCAGCGTTTTGATGTTGCTTTCTGTTGGCATACGCACCTTCGGTTTATTTAGCCACTTGCGAAATGTATCCATGGTTCAGCTTGGCCGTCCCGTTACCGTCAGCTGAACAGCTGTTAAAACTTTAACTGAGCCACCGTCTCTCTCCACCCCACTACTACACACCGATGACAATTAATCTGTGTGTAAGCAGGCTGTCAAATGACTAGCAGTTGGCGCCGATTTGCTCCAATAGATGGCGTCGTTGTCGTCCTTGCCCAACGCGCGCGACTGGCACACAACAACAATAACATAAACGAAATGGCGCGTATGACAAATCCAAACAAAACAATAGCAAATATGCAAGAGAGCACAATAACAACTATGTGTCTGGGTGTCTGTGTGCCTGTGTTTTGTTTGTGTGTGTACTATGTTCTGTTTACTGCTTGGCCACACTGCGTTCAATACAAGCGCATATGCATGCGTGTGTGTGTTGTGTGTAAGTATGTATGTTCGACTTTGTGCGCTACTGTTGCATTCGCGTTGTTGGATTTTCACTTTTCGGGCATTTTCAATGCATTTTATCGAATTTTACACTTTTTGTATAACTTGAAATTGCTTCGTCTCATGCTTCTTTTTATTTTGTAACTTTACAAGTGCTAAATTAATTTTCTTTTTGTTAAATGCCTTTCGCACTTGGCTTCGTATATTCGTATTCGGTTTGCTTTCAACACACACGCGTGACTGTTGCGTGCTCTTTCACTATCCAAAAATCATTTGAACTGCATTTCTTTATGTGGAAATTGCGTCGATTTGTTAAAATTCTTGAAATATGTTGAAACTATATCAGAACACAATTGGAAAATAGGTTTTTTTGCGAAAAAACCATTGAACTCGCGCAACACTTATCCGCCCTACCGTCTAAACAAGCGAAGCACGTACGTTGCGTTCAAAGATTTTTTTCGACTAACATATGTTAAGATTTTTTTGTTATTTAAAATAATGTAAACGGAATGTTAACACGCTAACCATCGATAAGATATTCGATAGCTATCGATGCTCTTACACATTAGAAATGGTACGCTGGTCAAACTCATTTTCGCTAACACAATAGACTTCGATAGAAGAATATCACGTGCTCCAATTATGTTGCTATTCGAGTAGATAACGACTGAACATTGTCAATTTGTTGGCCGATTTTGGCTTATTACTTTTACTTTACTCGTTGCAAGCAAAAACGTATTGTGCATTAACAGCTTCTTTACATGCTCTTATTTGCGTTATCGTGCTCATATTTGCGTACACATTCCCCTGGCGTTAGAATGACTGTTAAACGTTCAAGACCTAAGAGAATTGCATTTTCATTATATACAAATTGTAGTGAATGTATATGACATGATGTGTAATGGCAAAAACCTTTCTAATTAGAATTTTGAATTTGCCTTGAATTTTAATTATGCCGTATCAGTCAACTAAGAACTTTCATTAAAACAGCTGGCAACTACCAGCGAAAGGTGTGCGAACGAGACAACTATATGAATTGGCGCCAACATTTGAAAGATTAATTATATTATGCGGCCATTAAATGTATTTTAATGTACAAATTGTGTGCAAAATATTCTAAGCTAGTGATTTCTATTTACTGCAAGGCGATGCGTCGAAAATGATTGTTGAGCGGACCCTCGTCCGAGTAGCCAGCGATCTCCTGGGGTATAATACCCGATTCTTCAATCGAGGTGCACGGACGGCACATGCACTCCAGCGGCGCCTTGGTAAGGACTTTCTTGAACTTGCGCTCACCGTGCTTGACCTTGGGGCAGAACAACGAGACGGCGGCCTCACGCTCGCCCGATTCCTGGCAGCACATGCAAGAGCGCTCCATTTGCCAGATCTTGCTGCCCGACACCTGGCAAGGAGAGTATCAATGGATTGTGGTTGAATTGATTGATTAATTGTGATTCGATGCCCACCTGTATATAGCTGGCACAGCGACCCACACAGGCAAACGAGGGTATGGGCTTGGGCACACAGCCCGGATATTGCAGGACATGGATGACGGGCGTTACCTGGCAATCGTCGCCCAGATGCCCGATATCTGCTGATGCAAGCAAATCAGAAATGAGGCCTGTAGACAGCACCATTAGCTAAATAATTATATATTCATACCGTTATCGCGGGCACCCGCTGCCGCGCTGTCCGCCTGGGCCATGCACATCTTCAGCAGGCTAACTAGGACGCAGTACAACAGAATCAGTACGAATATCCTGTTGTTCTCGTGGCGTAGCACATGGCGCAGCATTTTTGTATTGTCCAAGTGTCCCCCAAGTCGCGACGCCTGCAAATGGAAAACGCTGCCAGCCGCCCAACGCTTTTTATAGTTGCCGCTCCAAAGTGGGCTCCGTGGCCCGCGGCCGGCCGCAGCTGTCGCCCTAATGTCCTCTGCCCGGCCACATGACTTATAGCCCAATAAAGGCGACGCGGCCCGGGATAAACCTTTTTGCCTAGTAATTGCATACATGAAAAGGGCATTTGTCCCGCTGCGCTGCGCTCCTCGCGCTCATTTATTGCCCCACTCACAATCACAAATCACAGCTTAAGCAAAAACCCGACCAGCGTCGACATCATCATCAACGACAACGTCAGTCCAGCAGCTCCATTCCTCTGGGCCAGAAAGCTGACCAGCTTGCCCAAGCGCTGCTCTGCCCATTGCACATTCGAGTCCACCGTCTCCAGTGCCTGCCTAAGCGTCTCCGCGGAGCTGCCGAACAGCGTCTGGCTCTCCTTGTAGAAATTCGAGAACAGCTGCTGCTGCTCCCGCGTGCTGAAATAGTCCGCCAAATCGCTCAGCGCCTGGGCAGTCTTCGGCCAGCTCTCCAAGCTGCAGTTAATTAAGTGTTATCTAATTTGACAGAAACTAAAACTACAAAAGAACTTACGCCTCAGCCAGTTGTGCGATGTCCTCGGTTATCATTTGGAAAATGGGCGTTACCAGGTCGGGATTCTGCTCGTACAGCTGAGCCAGGCCAACAATCTTCAGGTCCACGCTGTTGCCCTTGCCTAAGATCTCGTTCTGGTAGTGCGTTCGATAATCCCTCGTACAGCTGGCGGCTCGCCAGAATATCTCTCTGTCTATATAGTTGGTTTCGTTTGCATAGTATGCCATTACGCGGGCATATCCGCCAGATCTGGAGGCTGCACAGTAGAATGTCTCCCGATAGTCTGGAGATGGCTTTTCCGTGCTGCCTTCAAATAACTCCTTTATCTGGTTGGTGCAATTGGAATTCTGGTACTTGCAGAGCCAGGCGACCTGCTTGTTGCGATTGTAGACATCCAACACCTTGTCCCCGGAGGTCCAACCTACGCCCAGTATATCGAAGACCGCAGCTGCGATATCGCTTAGATACTTGTTAAAGTTGGGCAGCTGCTGTGGGGTCAAACGCTTTGCGACCTCTTCCATGCCCACATATGCCGCATACCAGGGTATATATTCTGTTTCTGTGCTCATGTACTCCATGAACTCGAATACCTCCACATAGTCAATCAATCCAGCGAGGGCGAAGTTGAAGAGGTCGTCAATGATTGCAGCACGATTCTCGACGGGGATCCCACTGTGGTCACTCTTGGTCAGGGCTACTTGAATCCGGCCAAGCAACGGTCCTTCGTAAAAAACTCGGTAGTAGTTGGCTTGTTTAAGATTAACGATAACCCAGTCAATGGGTTCGTCCGACCAGCGCGCATATATATCAACTATTTTATCAAAGTAGAAAGCGGGCGTCAGATTTTGGAAATTCGGTGCTAGGTTTGTGGCGTAGGTGATGGGCACTGTGTAGCGCAGTTTGGGATCGCTACCATCGCTGGCATTCAACAGAAAGCGTTCCTGATCCCAAGATAACAAATGGTTATCCAGAGTGAGGCTCACTATGATCCGTGGGTAGCCCACCTGCGCGGTAAAATCGTATATGAATTGATTTAAGTCGACGTGCGCGAGTTGAGGCCAGTTTTCCCTGAGGTGGTCAAACAAATCTGTGGGCAAGGTGTTACTCAAGTGGCTAAACAAGAATGAAATCTAAGATTTATAAGATTGGGCTCAAGGAATTTGTACTCACTGCTGCTTCAGGTAGTTCCTAATGGCCTTGTCAAAGTTTTCCTCGCCCATTGCAAGGCGCCACATGCGGATTATACTAGCGGCCTTGGCAAATGCGATTCTTCCGAACTTGTAATCGATGTCTGCGGGTGTAAGGATGCTCAGCTCTGAGCTGGTCATGGGTTGCGTAAGATTTAGAGAGTCGGTTATTAGGATGTGCTGAAGCTTATGCACAACAAACTGCTGATCCAGCTGATATTCCGGATATAGCTGCAAGGCAATGATATGAGAAAGGTCAAGTAAAAGCAATGCAGTCGGTATCCCCCAATAGGGGAATAAATCTCAAAGCAGATCGGAAAGAACCTTCACGATTAAGAGGAAATTAACTTCTAAGCTGACTCTAAGGAGGGAGTCGGGAACAAAAATCTTGTGCTTGATCTTTAATGATCTAGCCATCAAATTGTTGATTATGGCATCGAAACTGTGGAAGAAAAGGAGTTTTATGCTTTGCGAGGACGTCTTTGAGTATGGACGTGGCTCTATACGCCTAACTCCTTATTTGGAGTATTATATATGTTATATACCCAAAGTTTAGCTTAAATGGTGTCTGACTACACTGCATAAGCCCAAATATATTCTGAACAAAGCAAATAATCTATAGATGATAAGGCATTTCAGATACCACAAATCGCTGTTTGCCTATCTTACCTTGTGTCCCATGAAGAACTCATAGTAGCGCGCGAATCCCTCATGCAACCAAATGTAGCTCCACCATTTGCATGTGACGCTGTTCCCGAACCACATGTGCGCGTTCTCATGGACTATGTTGCGAATGGTGAACTCCTTCTGCGTCCAGCCATCCGTAACGCCTGGCTGTTCCAAGACCGCCTTATCCCTGGAATTGTATGATTTAAGAATGATTTAAGGACTCCGTTCGTCATATTAATCCCTGAATATACCTACTTGAAAATGACCAGGCCCCAGTTCTCCATGCTGTTGTGGGGAAAACGGGGTGTGGTTGCATACTGCAACAGCTCGTTGCCGAGCTGCTGATAAGACTGCTGGAACAGCTCACCAAATGCGGGCAGCACACGCTCTGCCACGCTGTAGCTGAACTCCGTGTAGTTGTAGTACGCCGGACGGGTTAGGATGGACAACGAGCTGTTGCCCCGTGCCTGGTACTCGGAGACCACGAAAGCCAACAGATAGGTGGACATGATGGGGGTTACCTCAAAGTGATCCGTAAATCGATTATTCCTGCAAATTCAAATTGATTTAAAGGTATTCTATGAAGGAACTATCCGCTTAAGCATACCCCTCGTCTGTAGTTTTGATCAAATGCGTGTTACTGACGACCCTTAGATCACTTGGTCGGCCAATGTGCATCTGGAACTTGGCCTTTAGAGCGGGTTCGTCAAAGCAGGGAAAGACCAGGCGTGCGTTGATGGGTTGCATCTGAGTTAATAGCACCCATTTGGTCTTCATCGTAGCCTCGTCTATATAGCTGGCGGAGAAAAGACCCACCGTATCGGACTGAACTTTCCCGGAGTACTTGAAGTACAAGGTGTAGTTGGCATCGGCAGCTAAGGACTGCGCCAGGGGCACTGTTAGCTGCTGTGTCTGCTCCTCAGTCGTCAGCCGATTGTTAAGTCCACTCTCCACCAGCTGTCCAGCAGCATTATAGAGTGAGCATTCTTCTATATCGATGGATATATCCTTGTGCAGCGTGATTTCCTTCACATCTGCCAGCACCGCCTTCAAAGTGATGAAGACCTCGCCATCGAACTGTGTACCAGGGTTCTCAGCGTCGCCGCGTAGACCTATGGTAAGGTTATAGAAGGTGGGCACTACGTTGCCTTCGAGCCGATAGTTGAGGGCACACTCATTGCTCCCGATCCAGGCAAATGAGAGAAGTGCGATTAAGGGCCAACTTCGGATTTGACAACTTTTCATGTCGAAAGCGATTCCAAGACTGAGTTCGCTTTAGGCCAATTCTATTCATATTGACTCATGAAAATCTTTCCAACAAAAAGGTTATTTTTTTGAAAGATTAGATTAAAATCTGAGCTAGGATGAACAATTGGCCAACTAGTTTATTTTGATAGCATATAGCTGTTTCCAACCGTGAATCGGTATAGCTAGGGGTATATCTATGCGGTTCCAAGCTATTGACATGAAATATAATTATGAAAATTTATTAGCTTTTTAATTATCAGAATTGATAAGCATATACACACGTTTGGAACTGTGACGTAGAAATGATTATTTTAACTTCCTAGAAATCATATACACTTTGTTAAATGATTAGATTAGGTGAATTATGGCTTGTTTTAATGTTTTTTTAATCGATAGGGGGGCCTGTTTTAAAGAACCATAAGCTGTTTGGCACGTCTAGTATCATAGATATATATTTATATTTAATGAAATACAGATATAGTTATAGCCGAAGATATATAGATGTACATTTTAAGCTTGATATTGATCTAAATTTATATATTCATTATTATATATACATGTATAGATTACAAAAGAAATAAAAGCAAAATGTACTTAGCAAACTCAGGAGAAGGCCTTTTTCGTGCAAGTGAGGAAAACATTCCAAACACATTCCTGTCGCTTTACAGTAGCCTGAATGGACTGACTTGTAAGAAGCTGGGAAAGTGGGGAAGGTGAAAAAACTTAATGCCCCAAGAAATCATACATTCTCACTAGACATTAAGTAAGAATTTTAAAAAAAAGCTTTGTAGGTAAAGCAAGACACCAGGAAATGCGTATTGGCGTATTGGGCCAAAGTACTGGAAGAATCGACCAGAAAACTCCCCAAAAAGCTTACAAATTTGACAAGAACCTAATGTAAATCTATTAAGGTCTAAACATCTACGAACTACAGGCATAAGAAAGTTGATCATGGGTTTTAAATGATTTACAATCTTGTAAATCTAACCCACGCCTTTATTTAAATTCCTATTTAAGCAACAAATTCAAAAGTGTGCACATCATCATTAGCAAAGAAGATACCAACGTCAGTCCAGCAGCTCCATTCCTCTGGGCCAGAAAGCTGACCAGCTTGCCCAAGCGCTGCTCTGCCCATTGCACATTCGAGTCCACCGTCTCCAGTGCCTGCCTAAGCGTCTCCGCGGAGCTGCCGAACAGCGTCTGGCTCTCCTTGTAGAAATTCGAGAACAGCTGCTGCTGCTCCCGCGTGCTGAAATAGTCCGCCAAATCGCTCAGCGCCTGGGCAGTCTTCGGCCAGCTCTCCAAGCTGCAGTTAATTAAGTGTTATCTAATTTGACAGAAACTAAAACTACAAAAGAACTTACGCCTCAGCCAGTTGTGCGATGTCCTCGGTTATCATTTGGAAAATGGGCGTTACCAGGTCGGGATTCTGCTCGTACAGCTGAGCCAGGCCAACAATCTTCAGGTCCACGCTGTTGCCCTTGCCTAAGATCTCGTTCTGGTAGTGCGTTCGATAATCCCTTGTACAGCTGGCGGCGCGCCAAAGGATCTCTCTGTCTATATAGCTGTTTTCATTTGCATAGTATTCCAATACGCGGCTATATCCGCCAGATCTGGAGGCTGCACAGTAGAATGTCTCCCGATAGTCTGGAGATGGCTTTTCCGTGCTGCCTTCAAATAACTCCTTTATCTGGTTGGTGCAATTGGAATTCTGGTACTTGCAGAGCCAGGCGACCTGCTTGTTGCGATTGTAGACATCCAACACCTTGTCCCCGGAAGTCCAACCTACGCCCAGTTTGTCGAAGACCGCAGCTGCGATATCGCTTAGATACTTGTTAAAGTTGGGCAGCTGCTGTGGGGTCAAACGCTTTGCGACCTCTTCCATGCCCACATATGCCGCATACCAGGGTATATATTCTGTTTCTGTGCTCATGTACTCCATGAACTCGAATACCTCCACATAGTCAATCAATCCAGCGAGGGCGAAGTTGAAGAGGTCGTCAATGATTGCAGCACGATTCTCGACGGGGATCCCACTGTGGTCACTCTTGGTCAGGGCTAATTGAATCCGGCTAAGCAATGGTGCCTTGTAAAATACTCGGTAGTAGTTGGCTTGTTTAAGATTAACGATAACCCAGTCAATGGATTCGTCCGACCAGTGCCGATATATATCAAATCTTTTATCAAAGTAGAAAGCGGGCGTCAGATTTTGGAAATTGGGTGCCAGGTTTGTGGCGTAGGTGATGGGCACTGTGTAGCGCAGTTTGGGATCGCTACCATCGCTGGCATTCAACAGAAAGCGTTGCTGATCCCAGGTGATCAAGTTGCCATTGAGATCTAGGCTCACTATGATCCGAGGGTAGCCCACCTGTATGGTGAAGTCGTAATAGGATTGATTTAATAACCCATATTCCTGTATAGGCCAACGTTCGTTGAGAAGTACATATAAGCCAGTGGGCGACGTACTGCTTAAGTAGCTAAGTGTTGGAGAAAATGCAAGTAAGATTTATCGGGCTGGATTTAAGGCATTTGCACTTACTAATGCTGGAGGAAATCTTGGATGGCCAAATTAAAGTTCTCCTCGCCCATTGCGATGCGCCACATGCGGATTACACTAGCAGCCTTTGCAAATGTGAGTTCGTCGAACTTATAGTCAATATCCGCGGGTGTAAGGATGCTCCCTAGTGGGCTGGTCATAGCCTGTGTGAGATTTTGAGAATCACTCAAAAGGGCATTATGAAGCTTGTGCACAAGAAATTGCTGGTCAAGCTGATATTCCGGGTATAGCTAAAACGAAATTTGCGATACATTAAAGACAAATTGAAATCCAAGCTTATAGATTCTAAGGCAACCTCCTGTCCCATAAAGAATTCATAGTAGCTCGCGAATCCCTCATGCAACCAAATGTAGCTCCACCATTTGCATGTGACGCTGTTCCCGAACCACATGTGCGCGTTCTCATGGACTATGTTGCGAATGGTGAACTCCTTCTGCGTCCAGCCATCCGTAACGCCTGGCTGTTCCAAGACCGCCTTATCCCTGGAATTGTATGATTTAAGAATGATTTAAGGACTCCGTTCGTCATATTAATCCCTGAATATACCTACTTGAAAATGACCAGGCCCCAGTTCTCCATGCTGTTGTGGGGAAAACGGGGTGTGGTTGCATACTGCAACAGCTCGTTGCCGAGCTGCTGATAAGACTGCTGGAACAGCTCACCAAATGCGGGCAGCACACGCTCTGCCACGCTGTAGCTGAACTCCGTGTAGTTGTAGTACGCCGGACGGGTTAGGATGGACAACGAGCTGTTGCCCCGTGCCTGGTACTCGGAGACCACGAAAGCCAACAGATAGGTGGACATGATGGGGGTTACCTCAAAGTGATCCGTAAATCGATTATTCCTGCAAATTCAAATTGATTTAAAGGTATTCTATGAAGGAACTATCCGCTTAAGCATACCCCTCGTCTGTAGTTTTGATCAATTGCGTGTTACTGACGACCCTTAGATCACTTGGTCGGCCAATGTGCATCTGGAACTTGGCCTTTAGAGCGGGTTCGTCAAAGCAGGGAAAGACCAGGCGTGCGTTGATGGGTTGCATCTGAGTTAATAGCACCCATTTGGTCTTCATCGTAGCCTCGTCTATATAGCTGGCGGAGAAAAGACCCACCGTATCGGACTGAACTTTCCCGGAGTACTTGAAGTACAAGGTGTAGTTGGCATCGGCAGCTAAGGACTGCGCCAGGGGCACTGTTAGCTGCTGTGTCTGCTCCTCAGTCGTCAGCCGATTGTTAAGTCCACTCTCCACCAGCTGTCCAGCAGCATTATAGAGTGAGCATTCTTCTATATCGATGGATATATCCTTGTGCAGCGTGATTTCCTTCACATCTGCCAGCACCGCCTTCAAAGTGATGAAGACCTCGCCATCGAACTGTGTACCAGGGTTCTCAGCGTCGCCGCGTAGACCTATGGTAAGGTTATAGAAGGTGGGCACTACGTTGCCTTCGAGCCGATAGTTGAGGGCACACTCATTGCTCCCGATCCAGGCAAATGAGAGAAGTGCGATTAAGGGCCAACTTCGGATTTGACAATTTTTCATGTCGAAAGCGATTCCAAGACTGAGTTCGCTTTAGGCCAATTCTAATCAGGTTGACTCGCACTCCTTTCCGAAAAATAGGTGATTTTGTTGAAAGATAAGATTAAATTCAGAGCCACAATGAACAATAGACCAACTAGTTGAATTTTACGCTGACGACGGTTGCTAACTGTGAATCTGTATTTTACGAGCTTGGGAAGGATTACACATCGATTGTCAGTATCAGAAGTGATAAGTATATATGTCGATGTTTATATGCTACCAGGTGTTACCTAGAAATAGTATTTGAATCCCTTTTAGCTGATTAAATTAGGTGAACTGTGGCAATTCGTTTTTATCGAGGCGAGTGTGTTGTATTAGAATTTTAAGTTATATGCAGAAGTGTGGATACTAAACATTTATTTATTTGTCATAATTAAAGACATAAATATGGGTAAAGATTAAGAGAGATAATTAAGTTGAGCTATTGACTTGGATAAACAGATTTAAAAAGTAGATATTAATTTAATACATAGAAAATAAGACGAGGGTGGCTTTAGATAAAATCGGATTACCAGCAATCGGAACATCAACAATAAAGAAAATGTTAACTTCATGGCAATGAAAGGATGTTGGAGTTTCCTTAAAATATATGTCCGAGGCTAAAAGCCGGTGAAGTACTTTATGACTTTACTGCTGAAAATCCTTTGTTTTTGGCGAACACTAAATTACCTAAAGGCGTCAAGAAAATCGGCTGCAGGACATGCAAGGGGACATCAGGAACCAAAACCGGGGGCCACAGTAATAATTGTTTAATTGAGACAATCTAAAACAAGTAAAAGGTTCTAGTCGGGAGCTCTCGACTAGAGGATATCCTGATATCCTCTAATTCCAATACCAAATGTTGCTCGCTACTCGCGCTCGTTTGCTTTAGTAGTAATAAAATAAATTTAAAAAAATATAGTTCCCTCGGTAGGGTTCGATCTCGCTACAGACCACACTCCTTGACGAAGCCTCTACTCAACAGCCACACCAACAACTGAGTCTTGATGAGAAAAAAGCGGATTAAAATAGCAGCACAGAAAACAATACAATCGCAATTGCAATGCTGTTGATAGAATTCACAGAAGACGAATTCTGTATACATGTATACAGAAGTTCTTGCAATTTGCGCTGGCTGCCGAAAACAGGTGGCCAGCCAAAACTCGTTTTCTTTAATAACTTCTGTGTTTCCTAACTGATCTTGACGAAATTTTAAACAGTAGATCTTATTGTACTATAGAATATTTGTATATTATCAAAAAGTCCGTTGCATTTAAATTGTGGCTTAAATTGGTGGGCAATATTGGTGATAACAATAAAATGAAAGATACTTGATCTATTAATATGCTATTTCGGAAGTTACATGTCTAGTTTGGTGACCCTAGCTTTTATAATTGACCGAAATTGCTCAAAAAGCAGGATTTCGATATAGATTTTTATCGATTACTTGCAAACGGGACAAGTTATCGAATATCGGATAAAAACTCGTACTGCGCGGGCACTAGGAGGACCTACATTTCAAATGTCTAGCTCTTATAGGTTCTGAGATCCTTGCGTTCATACATACGGACGGACGGACGGACAGACAGACGGACATGAAAAGATCGACTCGGCTTGTGATGCTGATCAAGAATAAATATACTTTGTGGGGTCGGAGATGCTTCCTTCTGCAGTTGCATAAATTTGCATAAATACAGAATACCCTTTTTACCCGTTTTCAATGGGTTCAGGGTATAAACATACATTTATTGCTAAATTATTAAATGTCGAATATTCAGCTCTTGTGTGTTTGGTAAAACACATAAAAATGATTTATTTTCGTTCCTATCCAAGCAAGAAAGTTAAAAGTGGGGTCATCACTAGCAAAGCCGACACCAGCGTCAGTCCAGCAGCGCTGTTCCTCTGGCCCAAAAAGTCGATCAGCTTGCCCAAGTTCTCCTCTGTCCAATTCACATGCTTGTCGACGTTGGACAGTGCTTCGGTAAGTATTTCCGCCGAGCTGCCAAATAGGTTCTGGTTTTCATCAATAAAAGTGGAGAAGAGCTGCTGCTGCGTCCGTGTGGTAAAGTAGTCTGACATACTGGCCAGCGCCTCGGCAGTCTTCGGCCAGCTGTCCAAGCTGCAATTAAAAGAGTGGGATTTTTTTTTTATAAAAAAAATTCTAGAAGGAATTTTGTAAGGATCTTACGCAGCAGCCAACTGTGTGATGTCCTCAGTTACGGCAAGGAAAATTTGTGTTATCATGTCGGGATTCTGCTCGTACAGCTGTGCCAGGCCAACCATCTTTAGGGACACGCTGTTGGCGATACCTAAGATCTCCTTTTGGTAGTGCGCTCGATAATCTCTTGTACAACTGGCGGCGCGCCAAAGGAGTTCTCGTTCGGTGGGGTTGGTTTCGTTCGCATAGTATTCCAAGACGCGGGCATATCCGCCCGTTCTGGAGGCTGCACAGTAGAAAGTCTCTCGATAGTCTGGCGATAGCGGTTCGGAGCTGCTTACAAACTTTTCGCGCACCTTGTTATTGCAATTCATGTCCTGATACCTGCAGAGCCAGGCCACCTGCTTGTCGCGATTGTAGACATCCAACGCCGTGTCGTTAGCCCTCAAACTTACACCGAGGCTTTTCTGTACCGAAGCTGTGATATCGCCAAGATATTTCCCGAAATTGGACAGATGCTCTGGGGGCAAGCGCTTGGCCACACGTGCCATGCCCTCATAGGCCGCATACCAGGGAACATAATCGACTTCCCCACTCATGTACTCCAGGAACTTGAAGACGTCAGCGTAATCAAGACTTCCAATGTAGGCAAAGTTGAAGAGATCATCAATGATTGCCGCACGGTTCTCGACTGCGATTTCACTGTGGTTGGCCTTCGCCAGAGCCACTTGAATCCGATTTAATAGCGATGGCTCATAGTATACACGATAATAATTAGATTGTTTTAGATTGAACACAATCCAGTCAATGGGCTCAGGCAAACTCAACTGCACAAAATCCAAAGACTTATTGAAGTACATATAGGGTGTCAGGTTCTGGAAATTGGGCGACAAGTTCGTGGCAAATGTGATGGGCACCGTGTAGCGTAAATTAGTATCGCTGCCATCGTCTGGATTCAGCAGGAAACGATGTTGTCGCAAGGTGATCATGCGGTCCTCCCAGGTAATATTCACCATGATTGTTGGAAAGCCCACCTGCTCGGTGAAGTCATAAAAAAACTGATCTAAGTTTATATTGACAGCTGGCCAGTTCGTCTTGAGATGTGTAAACAAATCTTTGGGTTCTGTGCTACCCAAGTGACTAACCGAGAGAAGAGACATGAGATTTATGGGATTAGACATGAGGAATGTGTACTCACTGCTGCTTCAGGTATGCTCGGATGGCCGTATCAAAGTTGTCAGCGCCCATAGCATTACACCACATGCGAACTATGCTGGCGCCCTTGGCATAGGTAATGCTGCTGAATTTGTAGCCGATTTGGGATGGAGTTTGTATGCTCGCCTCTGGGCTGGTCATCGGCTGGGTGCTGGCCTTGGCATCGGTTGCAAAGATCAACTGAAGCTGGCGCACAACAAACTGCTCGTCTAGTCGATACTCTGGGTGCAGCTGGTGAGAAAAGAAATCTGCTTGGTATCTATCTGAACTGATATTTCTTTAGGGATAGATGTTTACCTGATGCGCCATGAAGTACTCGTAATAGCGTGCAAATGCCTCGTTCAGCCAGAAGTAACTCCACCAGGAAAAGGTTACGCTGTTGCCGAACCACATGTGCGATGTCTCGTGTGCCAGAATCCGTATCGTATGCTCCTTGTCATTCCAGCCGTCTGAGTAGTAAGGCTCATGCTCCAGCACGGTATCTCTGAAAAGTAAAGCCACATTTTGAGCATTAAGATGACTTGCAGGGCTGCAAGTGGGAGTTTTATCCATTAAAAAAGGAATAAAAAGATTGGAATAACAAGAAAGAATGGCTAAATAGCCATATAGCTAAGAAGTTCGTGCATACCAAGGCTTTATTTTGAACCCATTGATCCTATAGTATACAGTACTCCGTTTTTAATACAGTTTTGCAGATATGCGGGGAGAATAGTTTAGCTCTTAATAGCCGAAAAGCATAAAAGTATTCCATGAAATGAGATAATGTAACAGGTAATAGATGGCTTATTTTTATCAATTTAAGAGATAAAGGGGCTGAATTTTTATGATTTAGATTACCTTTTTTTAAATAGAAATTACTCATGGGCGAATATGATGCTGTGGTACCTTCTAGTTGGACACTCTCGACTCTAGCACACTTACTTGTAGATAATGAGACCCCAGTTCTCCATGCCATTGTGTGGAAAGCGCGGTGTGGTCGCATGCAAGAGGACCTGGTTGCCCAAATCCTTATAGGACTGCTGGAACAGATCGTCGTAGGCATCCAGCACGCTTTTGGCCACATTGTAACTGAACTCGGTCTTGTTATAGTCTTCTGGCCGAGTTATCACTGCTAATTCGTTGATATTGCCACGTGCCCGATACTCGGAGACCATGAATGCCAATAGGTAAGTGGACATTGGTGGCGTCACGTCAAAGTGATCCATAAAGCGATTGCTGCTGCAATTCGAAATTTATCAAGTTTAGACAGGCTTGGGCATTATCTTCATGTTTTCAACTTACCCCTCGTCAATTGTTTCGATTAGCTTCGTATTACTTGTGGCATTCACGCCGCCTGCTCGGCCAATGTGCACCTGGAACCTGGCCTTGAAGGCGGGCTCGTCGAAGCAGGGAAAGACCAGGCGTGCATTGATGCGCTGCAGCTGCGTTAGGAGCATCCACTTGGTCTTGCCCGTCTGCTGATCCACATAGCTGGCGGAATAAAGGCCCGTCATGCCGCTCTGCACTTGGCCAACGTACTTGAAGTGCAGCGTGTAGTTCCTGTTGACGGTTAAAGTCTGCGCCAGATGCACAGTCAGCTGCTGTGTCGGCTGGTCATAGGTTAGCGAGCTCTGCCCAATATCCTCCAATAGATCACCGGTATCGTTATAGAGCCAGGCTCCATCTGCTATTTCAATGTCGTCCTTGTGCAGCGTGATTTGCCGCACATCCGTCTGCACCGCGTGCAGCGTTATTTTCACCTCGCCATCGAATGTTGTGCCTGGATTATTAGCATCGCCCCTCAGACTTATGGTCAGGTTGTAGAATGTGGGCAATACGTTGCCTTCCAGCCGATAGTTGGCAGCGCCAGCAACGCCGGCAAAAAGGGCAATCAGTGATAGAAGGCCGACGAGCAGCCAGTTGCCCGGTCCAAAACTGTTCATGCCGAGAGCAGGTACAATACTGAGCAAATACTCATACTAAAACAAAAATGCTAAACAATCAGCCGAGCACAGATGATGTTGCTTTTTTGTCGATTAGATAACACGGACAATGGGTGTCGATGCGATGATTAGCCACACCCCGCACAGCAAAGTGGTTCTTGTAGTTATTTGGGTTGTACTTGTCGCAAAACAGTGTTCAACAAATGCTACTTTTAACCCTAGGCCTACCTATTTGTTGACAAAAGGCTATTTACATCTATATAAATAACAAATAACAACAAATTTCCATACTACCAGTTCTCCATATATATATGAAGCCTTAACTGTTTGTACTTGACATACATTCCTTAACCGATCTGAGCACGGTTTGCTTTTGAAAGGTTTGGCAACCAGTTTTGAATGAAATTACGAGATTTTATTCTTTTGTTGTTGTATGGAATATTTTAGCATAATTGCGCAATTTACTGAGTGTAAAACCTAAACACATCTAATTTGACGTATATTGTTTATGTACATAAGAATAGATAAGCGCATATATAAACCTATTCATATAACCTTATCAAACTATTCTCTCGATGATGCTGATAATCTCAAGAAAGTCCCCCTAACTGTACTCATATTTCTTATCGCTGTTAATATAAATAAATTTAACTGAACGGATCGACTATTATTATTATTATTTTTATAGGGTATATTGGTTAGGGTATTATGGATTTTTGCAAATGTATGGAGCAGGCAGAAGGAAGAATTTCCGACCTCGGAGATTCAGATTGAAATTCAAATCACGGATAGCTTACCATTTTTCCATGAAATCGATAGGAATCCATATCGAAATTCTGTTTTTCGAGCATATCTCGTAGCTTATAAGAGCTAAAGACACAAAATTTGGTATAAAGACCTTGGTTTTGGTATGGTATTCCGGATACGGAATATTTTACTTTTTTATACCTTCCCCTGTTCCCGCCAAATATATTCTTAATCAGCATTAACAGCAGAGGCACTCGTGGTTTTTGGTAGTAGACTAAGGTAAACATCGTTTCTTCTAGACTTATTATGATAATGAAATTAAGAAGTTTAAAGCCGATGAAAGTAGTTCTTAAGCGTAAAGTAAAAATAATATTCAGCCCAATTTGCAGGGAACTATGAAACATAAGTCCCCTTCCCCATTTAGATTAGATAAAATTGTAGAATTTTTTATTATAAGTTTTAGCCGATAAATGTAGTTTTACTAAACGCCATCTTATCTGGCTTTTTTATTGCCTCTTGAACAGGCGGTAATTGTACAAATACTTTTTGTTGGACGAGCGCCCCAAATGCAGTTGGCAATTGGCTAATCTTGGCCTTAACGCAGCAGCGTGACCAGGGCCACCAGCAGCAGGGTCAACAGGCTGAAGCCGCTTAGCATGGCGCTGCCGTTGCGTTGGGCCAAATATGTGCGGAATGTGCCCAGCTTGGATGTGGCCCATTCCAGATTCTCCTTGACGGTCGTCTCGGCTGCCGTCAATGTGGCTGCCGAGCTACCAAATTTGCCGCCGTTCGCGGTATTGAACTTTTGCAGCTCCTCGTATTGCGATTCCTCCGTGAAGCGTGCGGCAATGTTGGAGATGACTGTGGCCACCGAGGAGTAGCCACCCATGCTGATTGGGGCAAAGCGGAAAAAAAAGAAAGAAATTTAGATATGCTAACGAGGCTGGTAAATCAACCGGTAACTTACGCAACGGCCAGCTCCTCGAATCGTTTGGTGACCAGCTCGAAGACGGGGCCAACATTCTCATTGTTCTCAGTGTACAGGGTGCTCAGCACTGAGGATTTGTCCTGTTTTCGAATCTCATCAGACAGCGTCAGATTGAAGACACGCTCGATGAGCGTACTTTGTTTCACACAACCGAATGAGTTCTGCAGCAGAGTTTCCTCTGTGGCCACCTTCTCGGTCTTGAATTTCTCATACAAAGCCTCAAACTCCGTGCTGCCGCCCTCGCGCAGCGCCACACAGTAGACCACGGAGCGTATGTTCTTGGGAACAGTGGACAGCGACTTGAAGTAGCTCTGTGCCTTGCTAATGCAATCGGCATTGCCAAAGCGACAGCTCCAGGACAGCACCTTGGTGCGCAAATAAATATCGAGTGCGGTCTCATTGGAGGTCTCATTAAAGCCCAGCTGGCTATAGGCCTTGGCGGTCAGCTGCTGAATGTAGTTGCCGAAATGGGCGGTATCTGTGCCCAGTCGTATGGCCAAGTAGTTGAAACCATTAAACGCCGCTGTCCAGGGTATATAATTGGTTTCCGTTTCCAGATATTCCAGCACCTGCAGTGTCAGATCGTAAAGGATATGTCCGGCACGGGCCAAATTGAGCAAATCGTCAACCACCTGGGCGCGATTCACCTCATGTATATCACTCCAGTTGGTGCTGATGAGCGCGGAATGAATAGCATGCCAATTGCTCTCAGTGTAATTGACGCGATAGTAGCCCGTCTCCTGAATGTTGGCCAGCACCCATGTGACTGCATTGGCTAATGTAACTGTCTGTGGAGTGGACGATGACAGCACAAACTTCGGCTTGGTGTCCGTGAAATTCTTCTCCAGACTGGTGGTGTAGCTGATGGGCACCGTGTATGTCAGGCTGGCATCTGCGCCATCGTTTTCCTTGAGCAGGAAACGCTTTTGACTGAACTCAACGCTCTTTCCATCACTGCTCAGCTTGGCATTGATCAGCGGATAGCCCACCTGGGTGGTAAAGTTGTAAAAGATGTGCTCCGCGCTGCTGTTGAATCGATCAGTTGGCCAATTCGCCTTCCAGGCGCCCAGCAAATACTCCGGCACCGATGACTGATATTGGCTGTGGATGGCAAAAACTATTACTATCTGTGACCAAAAAAAGCAAGAGTGCTCTAGTTAGTAGTGCTCGTCTAGCAGATACCCTGTTCCGCGTCACACTACCAGCTGCGCACCTTACTCTGCGGCTGCGCTTCTTCACTTTGATCCACACCATGTGTGCTTGAGTAGCTTCGGTTCCGATCTTAATGAAATTTTTACTGTATTCACATGTGACACAAATTTAAGGCTTTAGCTTTAAAATTTAGTTTTTTTTTTTTTTTTTCCAATTTTTGGTATAAATAAGAATGGATGCCTCAAAAAAGTAAAACATTTTGGATCTATATATACTTTATGAGAACCACCATACCTTGGTGTATCTAGCTCTTAGCATTTGGTAGTTATTCTTGAAAAGTATTATGAAATTGGGGCTAAATAATAAACTCGTTCTGCCTATCGTAAAAAATAATATAGTTTTAAAATTTCAATTCTCGAGCTTTTGTAGTTTGATAGACCGTTGGAAAGTTTTCTCAGGCGGACAAGGTTAGCCTAAGAAGCTCACTGTCCTTATCAAGATATTAGGTGATTTGATATATACTTCCTTCTTCCTATTACATACATTCCCACAAAAACATTACACGCTCTTCACCCATTTTAAATGTATACAAGGTATAAAAACTATAAAATTGACTTACTATTTGACAAGATATTCCTGCAGCGATTTTTGGAAATTCTCAGTGCCCATTGTGTGCTCAATCATGCGTATAAAGGTGGCGCCCTTGTTATAGGAGATGCTATTGAACATGCGGCTCAGATGAGCTGGCGTATAGGTATTCGGGTCGCTTAGGGGATTTGTGGCATTAGTGGAGTCCATGGCCATTACCGATTGTAATTGATCGACCACAAACTGTTTCTCCAGCTCCCATTCGGTTTCGACAAAGGCGGTACCGAAGTATTGGAAGAAACGGGCAAAGCCCTCATTCAGCCAGGTGTAGCTCCACCATTTGCAGGTGACCAGATCACCGAACCACATATGCGCCTGTTCGTGGGCGACAACTGCAGCAATTGACTGGCGGGATGAAAGCGTCGTGGCGGACTCATCCACCAGCAGGCTGCGCTCTCTGTAGGTGAGCAGGCCCCAGTTCTCCATGGCGCCTGCTGAGAAATCGGGTATGGCAGCCATATCCATTTTATCATTGCCCAGCGTATAGTAGCTCAAGTTCAAGTATTTGCCCATCTCCTCCAGAATCAGACGACCCACATTGAAGCTGTATTGCGTCTGCGCATAGAACTCGGGACGTGCCAGGACACCAAACTGGTCATCCTTGCGTACGGTGAACTCGGAGATGATAAAGGCCAGCAGATATGTTGACATTTTCGGCGTGGTATTATACACATCCAAATAGTATTCGCTAGTATGGGAATATAGTTAGTAGAGGATCTTCAGGAATTCACCCATAACTTACCCATTGTCGGTGGGTGTGCTGGACAGTTGTCTGGTATTACTAACCGAGGTGAGGGTGCGATGACGTTTCAGGGTCACATTGAAGGTGGCCTTGAACTGCGGCTCATCGAAGCTGGGAAAAGCGCGACGTGCATGATTTGTCTGGAACTGTGTGGAACCCAGCCATCTGTCAAATGAAAAATAATGCAAGCCACATTAGCTCCTGCTAACCTGGCAACTGAAAGTCTCAAACCCACTTGGTCTCATTGTTGTCATTCACATAAGAGCTGCGATAGAAACCATGCATATCATCCTCCATCAGACCCGTATAGACGAAATGAAGTATATAACGTTGACTGGCCTCCAGATCCACTGTTACAGTCAAATTTCTAATATCCGTTTCATCGCTCTGTGACACTAAGGTCAGCGCTGTGCGAGTAACTATTGCGCCCTCTGTCGCCGGCTTGGTCCAGTATTCGCTGAGCGAATAGGTCAAATTTTTCGAGTGCAGCACCACATATTTCGTTTTAACCACTGGCTCAATTTCAATCCAAACCTCACCGTCAAAGGTAAAACGCTTGTCGCCATCGCTTTCCAGCAAATACGGGCGCAACGATATGTTATAGTTAATAGGATTAATGTCCTCCGTCAGTCTGTAGTCAGCGTCTGCGGCGGCATAGCTGGTCGGTGGCTGCAGGTCCAGTTCCTGCCGAGGGGCCGCGAGCACAGCGCACAGGCAGGCAGCCCATAAGACAGCCAAACGCAGGGTAAACATATCAACTGTAGAAATTGGGATTTTCCATCGATTAGTGGTTCCAATAAGTAGTAGTCGAACTATTTCACCACACGTTATGCAATTGCTGAGCACTTACTTTCAATTCTTCTTGTCTGTTTTCTTTCTTGTCACTGGACTAAAATATTATTCGCACGGCCTGCGGCACGCAATTCGGAAACTTAACTAACGTCAGCTGCAAATCGACGGTACTATATATGAAGCCTTTAACTGGCTATAACAGCGATTTATCTCTAACCTTAAAACATTTTATTTGAGTCAAGATAATGTGCGCATTGCTTATAGATTATACGACGATTACGATGACGCTCCGATAAGAGAGTCAGGCGGTGATTTACGCCCTCTGTGTGCATTTGCCAATCAAAAACTTAAGCATGGCCGACAGTTATATATTGATAGATTTAATACTGGACTTTAATCCAGTTGCCAAACGGATATGACTCAGAGAACATAGAGCTAAGAATTGGGGAAAAACATTTCAAGCATTCAATCTTTTTATACCTCCGACCTATTAAATTGGAAAATAATAACTTTGGGAAGAGCTGGGGTAGCTTCGTAATGAAGACATGTCTGATACTATGATCATTACTAGATTAATGATACACTTCTCTAGTCTAATTTTGAAGACATAGAGATAGCAAGCTTTATCTTAAAAATGTTCTGATGTAGGTATAAAAAGATAAGTATTAGGGTGAAATTTTAAAATTAACAAATCTTAATGTACGTGTACTGTCGAAGAATATATATAACCAATCTTGAGTAAATAAAAGGTATTTTAATCGTAAAAAAATCGTTTGCTGTTTTGGCAGGAAATAGGACAAGCTTTAATTAATAATAGCTGCCAAAGATGGACAAACAGTGCTCGATTTAGTTAAATGGTTGTGACGATCAGAACAAAAACAAAAAGATATCTCTATATATAAAACTGATAAACTGATTGACTGATTAATTGACTGACTGACTGATTGGTAATCAACTCACAGCCCATACCGTATGAGCTAGCTGAAATTTTCACTGTAGTTACCTTATGTGATGAAGGTGCATGTTAAGACGTCTCGGAGGTTTCGGAAAATTCAACCCACAAGTGAAAAAATCGCTAAAAGCGTTTGTATGAAACTTTTTTGTTTACCATCGTCCTTAAACTCATTTTCAAAGACATTTGTTCAAATTCATTTGCTTTACACTTTTCGCAGAATCCAAGCTTCCTTTCGTCTTCAAGATTCTTACCGCAGGTCTAACATGAGCGGAAACCGTTGATTCCAAAACTTGGTTCTTTAGTCGATGCACTCAATACATATTTTTAAATAGAAGTGGAGATCAAGATGGGTAGATTTCAATTTTCCACGGGCGTGTACTTAGTGGAAAGGTAATATCTAAAATGTTTAGCACAAAAACGTTCCACGAGCAAGGCCGGGCAATACCCGCTAGAAATATATATATTGTTGAATAAATATATATATACTATACCTTTTAAATCCAATTTACGACAACAGGGTATATAAATTAATTACAAATGCTTTTATTATAACATATATTTTTGCCTATCATCCTGGTGTGCTAGAAATATCATTGTGATCAGATAGCAGGCACTTCAACCTTATCTTCGATCAAGTGTAGCTTGTATATGTTATAATTATTCAACTATATATTTTAAAGCATTTTATACCATTTATACGTATATAATATGCTATATTTATTGACTTGGTAATTTTTTTTAGTCATAACTAAATTAAAACTATGTGTATACTTTAGGAATTCGAAACCGAACTCTCGTTATTCAGTTGACTGAATGAGTCAATTTGCAACTTATTCACCCTAAAGTGCGTTCATAAATGTTTACATGTTTCTCTGTAATTGATAGTTACTTGAAATAAAAAGAACAAATCTTTATCTAATCGCTCCAATCATAAATTAAAAATATAAAAGGCATTACATGCAATTTTTTCTAATAAAATAATATTATGTATTGTAGTTTTTATGGCCAATAAAACGCTGGTGATATGGGGTTTATTTATAATCTATCGGCTGCGTCTAGACCACTCGGGAAAAAGTGCTGCTTACTATGGAAATATTTCAAATTCGAATTGCATGCATACGATGAAATAATATTGCATAAATAAATCTTACTAGAATTCGAATTATAAATAGGATTTTAGATGTCATTCAATAGCCACAACCTAAATTCAATGTCAGCAGCTGATGATAAATTGAAAATGGCTCTTGTCACGAACGGATTAGCCAATTGCCGATAGTTCGTTATCGTTATAGATGATTTACACTTAACAGTTATTGTTGCCATGTGATCATATTGCTCATGTTGATAGGCATATGAGCTATTTATGATCAACATAAACGTAATATTCCTAAAATGTTCCTGCCTAAAAGCTTCATAAATACTAAAGTATTTTTTGCTTAAGAGTAGATAATAGTTTCTTATCGGGCTATATAGAGCTATAACATTCATAATAAACTGAGCGACAGAATCTAAAGTATTTGGAAATGACGTGGCCATTTTGTTTATTAGCGAACGGAAATGTAAAGAATTTGTATATATACATAACTGCGAAACGAGGAAGACCCTAAGCTAACTTGATAGCTCCTAAAATAATACCTAGAACAATTTGGCGGCCAAAAGGCACAGTGCTAGAGCTAGCACAGATGCGGTCATAGCGGGACTGCCGTTGCGGAAGCCAGTTACCCAGGAAATGATGGGCTCCCGATTGGCCGACAGCCACTCCATGTTGGCGGCAATGGTGGTATCCACGCTGGCCTGCAATGTGTCGGGTACAAATTCAGAGCCTTTGACAACATCAATCAGTAGCTGCAGCTTTTGCTTTTGACTCTCGGTAACCACATAGGCAGCCATGCTCTCAATGTCAGCGTAGAGTGGATTAGTACCACCAAAGCCAGCATTCAGATTGCCATACTCCTGCCAATGCTCGAGCAGGAAATCAATGCAGACGAGCAGACCCACCTCACCACGGGAATAGGTGGGACTGAGCAATGTGTAGCGCTCCTGGGTGCGCAGCTTGTTGGTCTGATCAATGCTGCTGGACACATACTTCATCAGCTGATCCTCGTTCTGGGAACAGCCCAGGGCTGAGATGAGCAGACGACGCTCGGCCTGATCGTTGGAGTTCATCAATTTGTCATAGACAAAGTTAAATGTCTTATCCTCGGCCTGCTTGAGGCCATTGCAATATACGGGCGTCTGCAGATTCGGTTCAATCGGAGTGCCCTGATCGACCAGCGCTTGCAGCTTGGCGTTCGTCTCGTCCAGACAGCTCTGCAGACCCGCCAGACAGGCCACATTGATGACCACGTTGCGGGTGAACTTGGCCAAATGCTGCTCCCCATTGATGTCATTCACGCCAAATTTGTCGAATTGATCGCTGACCAATGCGGCCACATAGAACTGGAAATGCTCGTAGGCCTCATCGCTGCTCAGATACCGATTGAACAGGGTAATCGCGGTATTGGCCGCCGACCAGGGTGCATATTGATTCTCCTGGGGCAGGTAGGTGAGCAGCTGCAACAGGAGAGCATGTGACAAGCGATTGCTCGTAGCGAAACGATATGCATCGCTGATCAGTTGGGCACGATTGCGAGGGTGAATCTTATGCGAACGGTTGGCCAAGCCCTCAATAATCAGCTGCCAGTTGCGCTCATCGTAATTGATGCGATAGTAGCCTGTCGACTGTTTGTTCAGGATCAACCAATCATCGCTGCTCAGCTTAGCATCGGCAACGCTCGTCTCCTTCACCTTGAGCAGATAGTGTGTGGCCTCGGTATTGCGGAAATCAGGATTCGATGCAACCGCATAGTTCACAGGTACATACCAGAGCTTCTCGCTCGTGAATGTCTTATTATTGGTATATTGCTCCTGCTTAATGGTGAAGGAGCCATCGTTATAGTTGCGCTCCACAGTGATCAGTGGGACACCACCCTGTCGCGTCCAGTTGGAGAGCATGTCTCCCACGAGAGCTGGTACCTCATAGTTCAGTTCGCGGGCGGCCAGCGAAATGGCATCAAACAGATCTGTCTCATTGGCAGCGGAGTAGGCCCTAGAAGATGCACATTTTCATGATTTTTCAGTTTCAACTTACAGAAATCCACTTACTTGGTCACCAGATAGTTGTTAAGACCTTGCTGGAACACGGTGTTGGTCAGCGCATGACGCCACATGTCCAGCACGGAGCCGGCCTTGGCATATGCAATTGAGTCATAGAGCTGGGAAATTTCCGACGGTTTCTCCACAAAATTCGTCATGGGTCGCACATTGGGATTGGCATCAGCAATGAGAGCGCTCTGATAAGAGCCAGCGTGGAAGGTTTGGAATATATCCCACTCTGGATAGGCCTTAGACAGAAAATCAATTGAAGTTAGGCTTACGTTAATCTTCAGCTAGCCTAGGTCACTTACCAAATCAGTAGCTAGGTTCTCGAATAGCGTGGCAAAACCCTCCTTGAGCCAGAGATAGCTCCACCATTCAATGGCAACCAGGTCACCAAACCACATATGTGTATCCTCATGTGCCTCGACAGTAGCAATGTTCGTCTGCGTATTAATAGTAGAGTTTTCGACGTTGTACAGCAAATACTCCTCACGATAGGTAGCCAGACCCCAGTTCTCCATGGCACCAGCTGCAAAGTCGGGTATAGCCGCCTGATCCAGCTTAGGTAGAGCAAAAGGTACACCGAAATAGCCGGAGAGACGCTTCTCGACCAGCATGCCTGTAGTCAGTGCCCATTCCTGCTCATGCTCGGTGCCCTTGCGCGAGAAGACGCGCTGGGGCAACCCATTCAGTTGACCCTCCGAGTACACAAACTCCGATACAATGAAGGCCACCAGATAGGTGGGCATACTGACAGAGGTCTTGAAAGCAGTAATACCGGAGCTGAAAAAAATTAAAAAGGAATTAAATAAGAATCCAGTTGAAATTCCATAGGGATTCCTTGGGAATTTCATTGAAAATTCGTAGGAGTTCCCAAGGAATTTCGTAATAATTCTAAAGAAATTTGGCTGGTATAACAAACCTGGTCTTAGAGTCATCCACTGGCATATTGCTGATGGCATTGTAGCTGGGATCGTGATGGATGGTAATCGTAAAGTTGGCCCGCTTGGCTGGCTCATCATAGCAGGGGAAGGCGTGACGTGCATCGGTGCTCTCGAACTGTGTGGTGGCCAAGTATTTGGTAGCACCATTGTCATCCGTATACGTGGACAAGTAGAAGCCCCCATTGTCCGTTCGCAAATTACCCTCATACTTGATAGTCAACAGCCAACTGGTGCCCTCCTCAAAGGTAAGATCATTGGCGGACAGCTTTAGGAACTCACGGTCTGTATCGTGTGTGATTTCCAGTACAGTGTCAGTTGTCTCTCCATCCTTGCGTATGGTCGCCGTAAAGTTCTCCAGCTGTCGCGCATGCACTACAATAACTGTGCTGGTCTCTAAAACTTTTAAGCTTATGGTAACCGTGCCGCTAAAGCCTGTGTCGCCTGTGTGCACATTCGTGTGCAGCTCGACGGTATATTCCACAGGTTCCGTGTTGTTGGGCAACCGATAGGTGTCATTGTCGGCACGTGGTGCTAAACGCAGATTGGGATTCTCTAGTTGCTGCAGCTGCTCAAAAGGGGGAAAATTCCGTACAACGGCCGCATGGGCGGTGGTGGCCACCACCAGCAGTAGGGCCAAGATCGTGACAAGAACGCGAGCCATGTTGTCAACGGTGCGACGACAACTGGACAACAACTGGGTAGCGCTTGGTAGCTTTCCACTTTTAAGCCAAATTGTCGCCCCAGCCGAGACAATTTTTCGCTCGTACATATGAACTAGTGGAGCTCGTCTTATCGTCTAACCAGGCATAAAGATTATTTTAATCATTCAGGGCCGCCCCTAAGCCTTGCCACGCCCCAATTCAATTGGTTGGCCAATTGGCCAACGAATGTCGTAAATCAAAGAAACGATCTTTGAATTGGCTACGTTAAGTGGAACGCGTGCGCCTTGGCTATAAGAATTGAACTCCTTGAACGCGGTTGTCAGGCGTGGATGAGAGGTTAGATAAGAAAACAAGTAGACGCCAGTTCAAGATACTAATGTCATTTGATGATAAGTAGTTATATTACTTATTAAGATAATGTATCTCCAATTAAAAACTACAATAAAAATACTAGTGAAGAAACTTAAATTTACCGACTATTTGAATTTAGTTTATCAATAGAAAACAGTTAAGCTTATGATATATAATTAGGAAATAAAAAATCGCTCAGCTCACGTGAGAATTAAAGGGCAATTACGAAAATACAAAAGTATTCCACTAGAAGATGCCCTACACATAGTTTAAAGTGGCTGAGTAGCATAATTCCTCCATTTGCAAATATAGTTTTTAAATATTTGGGGAAATAAAATATATCGAAAAACAAAAATGTTTTTCTTACAACAGCTTAATTTTCGACCGATCGTTTCTATGGCAGCAATATGATATAGTGGTCCGATATTGTTAGGACTTTGCATATATATGATGAGCATAGTAAAACTAATAAATGTCGAGTTTGCTCAAATTTTTTTAATAAAATAAAAAGTTTTTCATATAAGAACCTACTTTTCAACCGGTTCCTATGGCAGCTATATGATATAGTGGTCCGATCTTGCCGGTTCCGACATATGTACTGCGTGCAACAGAAAGAGGGACTTCTTCACAGTTGTATGACGATAGCTTTAAAACTGAGAATCAAATTGGCATAGAAAAAGACAGACGGACAGACGGTCAGATAGACAGACGGACATGCTTATATCTACTCGGTTTTTGATACTGATAAAGAATATATATACTTTATGGGTTCAGAGATGTCTCGTTTTATGCGTTGCTTATTTCACGACAAAATTATAATACCCAATGCAAGGGTATAACAAGTAAGAGGCTGTAGTCGGGAGTTCCCGACTAGGGGATACCTTGAACCCTCTTCCACCAACACTAAACACAGCTAGCGCTACCAGCTCGTTGGCTTTAGCAGTAATAAAAATAAAATTAAAAAAAAAAATTCCATCAATAAGACTCGAGCTTGCTGCAGACAGCACTACCTACCGCTGCCTCTATTCAACAGCCATAACACTAATTCACAATTGCAATGCTGTTGATAGCATTTAATGAAGAAGCGCATGAATGTATTTGTGTAACCATCCTTGCAATTTGCACTAGCTGCCGCAGGCACGAGGCCAGCCAAAACACATTTTCTTTAATAACTTTTGTGAAATTTTCAGCAGTAGATCTTATTATACTATAGAATATTCGTGTATTTTCAAAAAGACAATTGCATTAAACTTGCGCCTTAAATTGGTGGGCAATACAATTTTCTGTATTTACCTGATTTATAACTATGTGGTGGTAGCGGGGTAGTGGCGATAGCTATAAAATGAAATATACTAAGTATATACATTTATACTATTCTAGGAGCCACAAGTTCGCTGACTCTAGCTCTAAAAACCTAAGATATTTGCTTAAAAAACAGGATTTCGGAATCAACTTTGATCGATTACTTCAAAACAGAGCAAGTTATCGATGATCGGAATCAAACTCGTACAGCGCGGGCATTAGGAAAACCTACGATCCATAATTCAAGTCTCTAGCTCATATAGGTACTGAGATCCCTGCTGTTCAGGCGGAGAGATAGACAGGCGGACAAGGCTAGATCGACTAGGCTATGGATGCTGATTTTAAAGGATATGAAAAATATATAAAACTAAACAAAATATTAACTGGTTATCGTAGTACTGGTTATTCAAGGCATTGCCTTTCGTTGAAACTTAGAAAATCAAGTTAAAGATCGATTTTAATTGCAGAGTATCGCAAACCTATAAGATCTGTTTTAAAATGTCTCAGATTGTCGATTTTATACAGATTCGCAGATGAGCACGGTTAGATCGGATTCTAGATTCTTCGTTACATAAAAATGTTGGACTATACAACCTTATTGAGTCATGTTTTTTTTTCCAAAACAGAATGAAATTATGACTCTGCCCTTGACAAACAGCCACTTAAAGCATTCAAGGCTTGTGCGGTTCATAAAGTTTGAGTATTATCGGAATTATGGCCGAATCATGATGTGTACATTTGGTAATGACAATTGTGTATAGGTTTTAGTCACAACTATCACGGCTATATTAGTGCTGTGTTAAATGCGATAAGATTGATCAAACTGAAGTGGGGCCAATAAAACCAAATTCCAGTTAATCAAACTATGGCTATTGTTTTTAAAGGTGCTACTAAACAAAATTTAAAAATTTCACCATATTTCCCAATAAACAAGGTGCGAAATATGTGTGTATACTAAGAATGCATTTACAAGAATATATAGCTTAACGCAGGGGGAATTACTTAGATTTATTATCGATTTATTTTCTAGACATCTGAATTCAATTGAATCTGTACAAAAGCAAAGTTACGAACATTGTCAGTATGGCGAAAGTGGAGGCAGAGAGGGTACTGCTGCCGTTGGTGCGATAGGCAACTAGCCAGTTTATGACCGGATCACGATGCACATCCAACCAATCAAAGTTGGTCTTTATGTTGGCCTCTACATCGGTCTCTGTGTTATCTGCGAGATACTCAGCTCCGTTGGTCCTGATTGTGTCCACCAGCGCATTAAGCTGTAATGAAAAATTCATGAAAATTGGGCGCTATTTTTAATAGAATGTTTAGCTTACGCGATTCTTTTGCGACTCGCTAACCACCGAGCTGGCAATGCCGCGCAATGCTGAGTCCAGTGGCTTTTGATTGCCTGTGCCCAGGTCGCCGTATGCCTTCCAATTCGCTTCCAAGAAGTCCAAGCTAGCCGTAAGACCCGCCTCGCTCCTGGTGTAGGCAGCACTCAACACGGAGGTGCGCTCCGAATAGCTTAGATTGTTTGTATCATCGATGGAGTACGCTACAAATCTCTTCAGCTGGTCGGCATCCTGCGCGCAGCCTAGCGCGGAGATATATGTGCTGCGATCGGTGGCATCATTGGAGTTCAGCAGATTGGTAACAACTGAACTAAAGGTTGCATGCTCGGCCTCGCGCAGTCCGGCGCAATAGGCCTGTGTCTTTAGTGTGGGCTCGATGGGAATACCATCATATAGGGAGTCCTGCAGCTTTTTGTGCGACAGTTGGTAGCACTTGGGGCTGCCCACCTGGCAGGCCAGACTGACTAGGGTCACGCGCAGATAGTTGTTCAGGTAGTGTTCGCCAGGTATTTCGTTGACGCCCAGCTTACTGAAGATATCCTCGACCAGTTCGATTACGAACTCTCGGAAATGCTCGTAATTTGCATCGCCGCGCAGATATGTATCGTAGATAGTAAATATGCTATTGGCTGTGGACCAGGGCGCATACTGATCCTCATTTCTCAGATATGCCATCAGCTGAAACAGTGTGGCCTGGCTAAGGCGACCCGTATCCACGAAGCGATACGCATCGTGCATCAGCTGAGCCCGATTGCGCGTATGGAAAGCGTAGGGCTGCTCCAATAGGCCTTGCGAAATTAGCCGATAGTTCTCCTCATCGTACAATATACGATAGAAGCCAGTGGATTGTTTATTTAGAATCAACCAATCATCCTTCGATATTTGCACATCGCTCACCGTCAGCTCCTTGACTTTGAGCAAATAGTGGGAGGCGGTGGTGTTGCGGTAATCGGGATTGGAGGCGGAAGCACAGTTGATGGGCACATGCCAGGTGGCCTCATTTGCAGTATCCTTGTCATTGAGATAACGTTGCTGTTTAATGGTAAAGGTGCCATCCTCATAGTTACGCTCCACGGTTAGCAAGGGAAAACCAGCCTGTGTGGACCAGCTGGAGAATATGTCGGGAACCCCAGCGGGTAACTTGTGCCCAAGCTCATCGGCTGCCTCCTGCAGTGAGGCGAACAAATTCCACTCGTCCGTGGAGTTGTATTGACTGGTGGAAAAATATATTTGTAATTATACATAAGTTCAGGACATGTCCCATTTTTACCCTTGAAACCCCTTACTAGGAATATATCTTTACAAATAAAGCTTTTTCCCACTAACTGATCGTAGCATTAATAATCCAAACTTTTAAAATTAGTTTGAAGGTTGGAGGTGGAATAAAAATTAAACTTTCCCACCTTAATTTTATAGGAATTTCCAAAAGGCTAAAAGCACGTCATAAGTCAATTTTTACTAAGGTCTTTGAAAACGTGTTTAATGTCCATGGAATGGGTTTTGCAAAATTCCAAGAGAAATTTTTCATAATCTGAATTGTACACAATTCAGTTTCCTACCTCATCAGTCATCAGTCTTTCAGTCAATCGGGATAAACAGGACTTTCATTTTAAATACTCACTTTTGTGTTAGATATATGTTTAGGCCACGTCGAAACACAGCATCTGTAAACGCATTCTTGAACATGTACAACACACTGGCTGGCTTGGCATAGGATATGGTACCATAGCGTCCCGATATCTCATTGGGTGTTTGGACGTAGTGCGACATGGGCGTAGATATGGAAGCATCATTAATCAAGGCGCTGTTGTAGTCACTCACATGAAAGATCTGATAGGTATTCCATTCGGGAAAGGCTATATCATTGGATTCATATGAGAAGAGGGTGGCGAAACCCTCTTTGAGCCAGAGATAGGTCCACCATTTGAGCGATACCAAATCACCGAACCACATGTGCGCATACTCGTGTCCAATAATATTAGTAATGCTCGTTTTGAGATTAATCGTGGATGTCTCCTTGGTCCACCACATGTACTGCTCCCGATAGGTGGCTAGGCCCCAATTCTCCATGGCGCCGGCTGAAAAGTCCGGTATGCCCGCTTGATCTAGTTTGGGTAGTGCAAAAGGCACACCGAGGTATTTTTCCAAGCTAGCCTCAACTACTAGACCGGACCAGAGAGTCCACTCCTGTTGATCCTGCTTGCCCTTGCGCGAAAATACACGTTGGGGTAAGCCATTTAGCTCGCCGCCTGTGGACTCAAACTCCGAGACAATGAAGGCTATCAAATAGGTGGACATCTTGGGTGTTGTTAGGAAAACCGTTTTGCCGTTGCTATCATAAGAACGATGTTGATTAGAAAACCCTCTTTAACCCACTCATGGTTACACTCACCTCGATTCGGCTTCATTTACTGGCATGTTACTGATGGCATTGTGGCTGGGATCGTGATGGATGGTAATCGTAAAGTTGGCCCGCTTGGCTGGCTCATCATAGCAGGGGAAGGCGTGACGCGCATTGGTGCTCTCGAACTGTGTGGTGGCCAGATAGCTGGAGAGTAAGCCATTCAAATATCAAATCGATTCATTCACATAATTCAATACCAAAGAACTTACTGTACGACATTGCTGTCATCCGTGTAGCTGGATATATAAAAACCGCCCATATCGTTGCGCAACAGACCCGTATAGTTGATGCTTAGCGTCCAGTTACTGTCTTTTGCAAAGCTTATGGTGCTGTCAACCGGCTTGAGGGTCAGAAATTCTCGTGTGCTTTCATAACTGACATTCAGACTTATCGGTGCGCTCTCCGCAGAATCCTTGCTTTGAATTATGGCTGTAAAATTTTCAGTTTGACGCGCATGCAGAGTGATCGTATTGGTTGTCTCGATCACCTGCAGATCGATCGTGACAATGCCATTAAAGTCGCGAGTGCCATTATGAACTTGTGTCCACAGCTCCACATTGTAGGCTACGGGCACCGTATTGTTAGGCAATCGATAGTTATCCTCGCTGTTGTTATCCTCGCGCGTTTCGATCAATCCCGATAAGGCCTGATATCCTTTGGTTTCCAGCTGCACCATATCCTCCAATGGCGGCAGCCGAGCCTGTTGACTGGCCGCAACCAGCAGCAGCAGCAACAGCCACGAATTCAACACCCAACGCGCCATCTCGAGCGCTCTAAATTCAAATATATATAAAGCTTCGGCTTCGCAATGCTCGCAAATTTATAGAAAACTTCATATCTTATCCTGCAGGGCAACCATCATATAGATAACTCCCTGATAAACGAACGATAAAGTACACTTAATGCACTCATTAGCCCAAGTAGTTAAGTTGGTTTGGCATTTGGTACATGAGTAGTTATTGGCTCGTAAAATAAATCGATTGTTCATCGGTTAGGCAGCTTATCTCTAGACGTGGTCAATAAATGATTTCAATTTGGTTGCTGTATTAAAATAGTTTACTAGTACAATCGCACTTATATAGAAATTTGACCTTACAATTCAATGACTATGATAAAAGTGAATAACTTTTAATTTCTACTTCATTAATCAGTTTCAGGGTATCAATGAATGTATTGATTACTTAGCGCGTATTAAAAATTCCCTATATATGCTGATCGAGAAATTTGTAAATTAGTTTAAGGTATAGGAATGTAAAAACCCGGGTTCAATTCATGAAAATCGCATAGAAATGTAGTTTTTATGTGCGAGGAATTGAGAGCGATAGAGAGAGAGAGCGAAGAAAGTAAGCTAAAGCCAATGAAAGGAAAATAAGACAGAGAGTGGTTAAAGTAAATATGAGAGACTGGCGGAATGAATTACAGAGAGAGTGAGATGGCATGGGAAAGTGGTTGAGCATAAGAGAGAGGTAAACTTTAAATAAGAGTGCAGAAATATATAATAAACTAGCGGGTATAACCCGGCCTTGCCCGTGGCACGTCTGTTATAAAATCAATGTTTTCAAAAAGCTTTGAAAATGATTTTGAAACTGATCGGACCGGAATCAAACAACTCTTATGCAAATCGAAAAACTCTTTAAATTCACCAAAAAATCTTAAAAATGCATTTTCCACCGTAGGAGTTTAGATTTTGCGAAAAATGTGAATCCCGTCTCAAATGAATTTTCATATAGATCTTTGGAAATAAATTTAAACACAAAACGTCATCCACCAAATCTTCGAACCCCATTTGCACCAAGGAGGGATGGATTTTGCAAAAAGTGTGAAACACCTCTCAAATGAATTTGAATATAGATCTTCGAAAATGAGTTTGGGGCCGATCGGATGGTAAACAAAAAACTTTCATACAACCGTTTTCCGCCATTTACCACTGTTGCGGGTGGAATTTTCCAAATCGTCGAAATACGTATTCATTAAGTTCTTATTGAGAGCTTTGAAAATAAGTTTGAAGCAAATCGGACACAACTTAAAACTTCGCACAAAAAATCTTTAAATCGCATTCCCCCCGAAGAAGTTTGAATTCTGCGAAAAGTGTGAAATACGTCTGAAATGATTTTTCTTATAGATCTTTGGAAACGAATTTGAGCGCGAAACGTCACCCACCAAATCTTTCACCTCAATTTCCACCAAGGAGGAATGGGTTTTCCGAAAAGTGCGAAACACCCCTCAAATGAATTTGAACTAAGATCTTTGAAAATAAATTTGGGGCCGATCGGATGGTAAACAAAAAAGTTACATACAAACGTTTTTCGCGATTTTTCCACACTTGCGAGTGGAATTTCCCGAAACCCCGTCTTAAGGTGCACCTACATCACATAAGTAACTACAGTGAAAATTTCAGCTTCCTAGCTCTTACGGGTTGGGCTGTGCGTTGATCACCAATCAGTCAGTCAGTCAGTCAGTCAGTCAGGACAAACAGTTTTATATATAGAGATTACTAAATAAAACCTTTCAAATAAACACCGCTAACACACACTATAAAATATGTAAGACCTTTTAGGGATGATAAAAATCGCATATAGTTCCGATATTTATTGGATTTTTTGTAGGCGCAGCTTCCCGGCTTAGTGTTTTTCCTAAACTTTATTTCGACTATTTTGCTACTTAGTTAAAAATTTATTTTAGTTAACTTTTGACTTAAATTATACACTTAATACAATGGCTAAAACTGCAGCTTTACGCGTAACGCACTGCGTACCATTTTGCTGGCCGCACTCAATAGGCCTGCGGGTCGATTGGAGCCGTTGGCCACACTGAGAGATGCTGCATAGGTGTTTTCACTGCCAGTTGGGGAAAGTTCTTTGAGCAGCCAATTGTGTATTGGGCGTTCGAATTTGTCCAGAAACTGTTCGCTGTTGCGCATCTTCTTGCCCACCCGGCGCGAGTCTATAGATATCAAAGGATCCTTGGGACTGAGATGCTCCATTTGCATGTACATATCAATATTTTGGCGCAGCGTAGCAAACTAAAAGGTTGAAGGAAATGCCGTTTAGAAAAATATGGCTAATTCCGATAGTAAAAACTTACATGGTGTTTTTGACGCTCAGGCACGAATTCGGTAATATCATTAAAGAGCTGCACAAAGAAGTTGGAGCGAGCTAGCAGCTTATAGTTGTGATCTATAAAATGCCAGATGACGGAACGTGCCGCCATATTCGATTTGAATACATAGGACAGATACATCATAGCCTCCCGTTCATTCAGCAAAGTATACGTAGAATTCTCGCCCACCAACAGATTTAAATAGTGTCGCATATGCTGATGACTTTGTGTGCAGCGCAGCGAATAAATCATATCATCGTAGTAGGCAGAATTTCGATCCGTAACATGCAGCAATTCGATTAGGCTACCGAACTCCTCATCGCTCAGATGTCGCACACCCATGCACAATATAATATCGTGCATGGCATAATAATCCGGATAATCGCTCTCAAAGTTGTTCTTCTTGAAGATATACTCATGCGCCAGCCGATGCGTATAGTCCAGGCACTCGGGCATATCCACACGGCATGCCATGTGCAAGATATCGGAGCGTGCCAGTATATCCATAGTTGCCTCTCCAGTGTCTTCTTTGTGGAAGAGACGCAGAAATGTGGGCGCAACTAGGCGACGCACGAACTGCTTGAACAGCGAATGGGCTGTGGTGCCATAGAGATTACAGTCAAGAAACTCTATGGTATTGGCCACCTGACTCCAGGGCGTTAAATCATCTTCAAATTTCAAATACTTGAACAGCTCAAAGAGCACATCAACCGATTCGAGCTCATTCCGTTCGATCAGGGGAGCCAGATCCTGAAATAGAGCCGCGCGATTCATGGCATGTATAAGCGAATGATTCTGCTGGAGCTGCCGTGCTATCGCCTGCAGATTGTCCGTATCATAGAGCACATGATAGAAGCCCGTCTGCTGTTTATTAACAATCAGCCAGTCCCGTCCTCCCAGCTGCAGCTGCAGCTCCTCCAGACTCAACGTATGCTCCATCACCGGCGGCATGAAGTACTCGGCATGCGTATGCTCAAAGCTAGGGGACTGGGCGCTGGCAAAGTTCAGTGGTATCCACCAGTGTTCACTCTTCGAGTGTATCGAACGTTGTCTCAAGGTGATTGTATCGTTCTCATAGTTCCGTATGACCGAGACAATGGGAAGCCATTCACTGTGCGTCCAGGACAGCATGATGTCACGCACCATATGCGCCCAGGATTGCTGCTGGAATTGTGCATCCTCCAGCACAGACTCCTGGATGGTATCGAACAGATCCTGCTCGCTGACAACGCTGTATTGGCTGGAAGATCGTTAAACTTATGGCACATCAATTGCAATTGATCAGTTCAGTGGCTCCCCTCCGGGACTTACAATTTCTTCAGATAACGGCTAATGCCCTGCACAAAGGTCTTCTGATGGAAGGCGTGATGAAACATCTTGATGACGCAGGCGGCACGCTTATAGCTTATAATATCAAAGACATGCATAATATCCGGCTCGGTTTCCACGTAGTATGTCATTGGGCGCACATCAAAGAAACTGCTGTAGCTATAGGCATGCTCCGCTTCATCTCTGATGAATATATCCATGACCCTGTCTTCGGGATGCAGCTGTAGGCAGATAATTTTGTTTAGTAATTTGTTATAAATTTGTTATAAAATATCTAACGATAAAGTATATGTATTCTTCAAAAGTATAAATAGCCGTTTGGATAATCTCTCAGCTTACTATCGCCAAGGAATCAGTACATATATCGGAATCAGGCGGATCGGACAACTATATCAAAAAGCTGCCATATGAATGATCTTGGTTCTTGTATCCGATGGGATATCTTGACTAATTTTGGCATTTACTAATTTGACTTTCTGCGAAACCGTATCAGGTGAGATTACTTTATTATATGGGACAGATCGGTTGGAAATAAAGCTAGTATATAAACATATGCAAGCACTTCTCAAGAATATGTCCGGAAGAGTATTCAATCATCCGCGTATCATTCATTATTTTCCCAGTCACTTACCAAATCAGTTATAACGTAGCTAAAGTAGGTGGCAAATCCTTCGTTTATCCAGACATAGGACCACCATTCCGGCGACACCAGATTACCGAACCACTGATGCGATATCTCGTGATTCTGCATTAGTTTATTTTTCAATCGCTTGTGCTTGTCCGTTACATCCAGTGACAGTAGACTATCTTCCCGGAAGGTGATTAGACCCCAATTCTCCATGGCAGCACCCTGGTTCTTTTTAAGCGCCACGTGATCCAACTTGGGTAGCGAGTATCTGACACCAAAGTAATCCTCCAGTGCGGCCACAGTAAGCACTGCATTCTTCAGTGCGGTGCGACCCTTGTCCTTGCTTGTGGGAGAGGAATAGATGCTCTGCGTAACGCCGCGATACGTCTCCGAGATGTGCTCAAAATTGGAGATAACAAATGCCACCAAATACGTGGACATGGGCGGCGTAGTCTGGAAAGTGGTTGTTGTCAGCTCGCTGTACTCAATACGAAATCGCATTATAACTAAGTCAAAGATTAGGCTTCAGAGGGAACATACCCATGATTAAGCACCTCGAGCACAGGCATATTTGAAACTGCCATCAAGCTGCTGCTGTGCGTCAATCTGATGCTATAGTTGGACTTAAAGGCGGGCTCATCATAGCACGGGAAGATCAAACGTGCATATGTCGGCTCCGATTGGGTGGCTGCCACATAGCTTTAAATAAACAATTGAAGCATTAAATTGTTGCTTATTTTTATGTAGCGCATAGACCAATTCCTATTCCATAAATTATATATACTCTTCATCAGTAGAAACATTTGTCCTGAAAATTTCCATAGGTCTGCCTGTGCCTCCTACATCGAAATAGGCTGAATTGGACAAGAAAATAGCTTCCATGGGAATATTTGGTTAAAATTAGGTTCTTATAAGACAAACTTTATTGTTTGTTTTTTATTTTTAAGATGCCATGTCTTGAATTTCAAGAGTTTTACCAAGCGGCTTAGTTAATTGGCTTTCAATACTTTCTGCCTTCTCGGCAAGCCAAAAAGAACTGTTCTTTCTTGTTAAAAAAATATCAACATATTCCATAGCATATTTTTCTTTCGGCCAAAAATTGAGGTACACGATCGTGTGGCTTAGTATAGAAATATATAATGGAAATCTACTATATATCTTATAGGGTATTTAATCTTTAGCAACACACAAAAACACTCTTTTTAACACTAAATTTGTATTTTTTAATTAGGAACTGCTATTTCTTTGAACTTGCTTCAAAGGCAATTCTCTGCATTATACGAATTGCTGTGTAAAGCCAAATCAAAACAAACACATTGCCTTGTTTCCATCAAGATTCATTGAGAAAGCGGCAATAATAATAAATAATCTATTATATATATTTTGTTGTTGTCAGCGCTTTATCGGGGCTGCTGCTCAGCTGTCGTCGCCGATAAGGGACTGACAAGAGTCGCAGCCGGATTTTGTTGTGGTCACAGTCATGCCCCTTTATGAAGAAAACCATTGAGCCATTCGACATAATGTTTGTGCGTCTAAAATATTTGTTTATATGCAACTTGAATGACGCGCATAACGAATATGAGTACTCTACTATTGTGTGATAAGGCCACGCTGGACGTGTGACTATAAACAAGTGAGTGTGCTTGAGATAAGAGTGTTTGGCCAGACAAATACCCTGTAGTCAAGGCGAAGGGAAGAGGACAGGTGAATAGCAATCTTGAATATAAATGAACTTACAGTTAAGTTCATATTTTAATGTTTGTAATTCAATATTTTTGATCTGCATTCGGTATACAAAACTCCACGTATCTAATTTCCTAACTCTAGCTCTTTTAAGCACTGAGAACTGACTTTGTTTATATGACTTCTACCCTATTTTAGCATTTGTCTGCTAGCAGGGTATAAAAAGTGAGAGCTAAACAAAGCAGAAAAAAAGCAAAAGTTATAATTATGCGAATATCATTATCGTTTAAATTAAGAGTTGTGATTATATAATAAGAAAGCACGCGCGCGCGTGTATAGAGTAAGTGTAATGCATTTGCGCCTTTGAACCTAGCTACACAATGAGGCTTATCAAACCGAAATAACAACAGCCAAAAACAACAACAGTAAAAACTCACACAGTACGATTGTTGAGCGGCTCCTCATAGGCCATCCAATACAGACCCTTCGGACGAGTGCCCATCAGGCCCGTGTAGGAGATGTGCAGTCGATATCGCTGTCCGGCCTCAAAGGCCTGATAGTTAACGAGCGGATGTACGATGAGAAATGTTGTATGCGGATCATACGTATGCGTAATATCATCCACAAGTTCACCCAAAGCCTCTGGCATGTCTGGGTCAAGTAGTCGCAGCGTTATATGAATATCGCTCAAGTTCTTTGCATGTAGCACAATCTCGTTCGTTGAACGCCTAATCTCAATGTCTATGGCGGTATTTCCGCTAAAGCGCCAATCCCCAAGATGTATATTAGTGCTAATGTCCAGCCGATAGCTCAATGGATACGTATCGTTCGGCAGGCGCAGCGATCGCGTGGACAGCAGATGCGGCGATGGGGTTGTCGTTGCCGTTGCCACTGCCTCAACTGCCTCAGCCTCCTGCGACCAGCCGAGTGCCGCAAACAGCACAATAATAATACTAGCACACGGCGTAAGCATTACGGAAATGTGATTATGTGAGCACGCACGTTGCCTACCAAAACTCGACTAAACGTTGCGTTGGGGCGACTGCGGTTAAAGCGTTTAAAGCCTGCTGTTTGCTGCTGATAAGATAACAACTGATTGATCGTATAAGAGCGTCGAGTGCTGCTGTTGCTGCTGTCGTATACATTTTGGAGTCGAAATTGTGCTCACGACATCCACTTGCGACAGGTCAGTGCACAATCCTGACTCTCCTTTAAGCTAGGCGCTCTTAAATACTCTCTTACGTATTAATTTCCCATTCTTAAACAGTGCACAACGCTCAACTGCTTGTGTCTTATTGTGCACTGTGAGAAATTGGCAGCGTCGTACATGAAATTTCCAATTGTATAATTAAATTTAAAAACAATAATCTTGACTTGGACAAGGCCGAGCAATCTATGCTTGTTGGCATGTATTTATTAACACCATCACCTATAATAATAATTAATATTAATAAAACAAATTTACTTCGGAAAATTATTATTTTGATGCATATGCAAAATATTATTTATTTTATTATTATTTTTAATTATATATAAATGTTATAAAAGAGCTTACAACTATATTTAACTTAATTATTATATAAATGCAAAGGCTGTGTACCTTAGTACAAAATGTATTCACGAGAATTCAAATAAGAATATATAAAATATTATATAAATTAATTTTCGAATAATGCGCTATTTTATTTATATAACTACTTTATTTATACTTATTTAACATATTAACTTGTGCTTATTTAAAAAATCGTATGATATATATGTGTGTACATTTATTTAAATATTAAAAGCCAAACAAATTTTTTTCTAAATATATATAAAACTCTTACACACAAATTCAAATCGATCGATGCCTCTTTTTTTTCGCAGTGTATGGCCTGTGCTAAATTCACTGCATTAATTGCCCTTGCGATTGCTTCGGCGAAGCGTTCGTTCGCATTGTTGTTTTTGTGAGCAAAACACCCGATCGAATTTGAGCTATAGACGGGTGTACGACAACATATGTATATCATCGGGTTGCACAAGCCAAACGCTTCAGTCGATGCTTCACTTTCTTAACGTGAAAATGTCAATTTGCCGCTGCTTTAAACTATTGTTGTTATGGGTATTACTGTGTTTTTGTATTATGCGCCATGTGCAGGCGCGACAAGATAACATAGTAAAGCGCAATTGCTCTGAGAATGGACAATATGTGAGTATATGGCAAAATCAGACAGTTTTAGCATTAATAATAACAATACATATATATGTACATATATTTTAGTGCCAAATGCATATGGACTGTTGTTCCCGAAAGTGCATGACATATATGTACAAGTGCGCGCCCAGAGTGCCAGAGAAATATCCTGAAAACAATGGCAGCCCAACGGGCTTGAATTCTCTCCCAGACTTTTGGTGGCCTCTATACCATGCGAATGCATCACTCAACGAAGATCTGGAGATTGTTACGCTGCAAGATGATAAGACCACAACAAGAGCTGAGCTCGTTGAAAACAACAGCCAATCAGTGGAGAAAGCGGGCATTGCCTACGATATAGTCACTCCATCAAGCACTGCTCCAACCGCGAGTACACCCCGCTGTAACCGCGTTGGCGATGTGGTAAGCAGATGTAGTGCTTCGCTTACTTTCACTCTTATATATTTATATGTATATATATTTATTTGCTTTTCAGTGCTCAGATAGCAGCGAATGCTGTACAATGCGTTGTCACACCTACCTCCATAAGTGCGTCACCTAAAGTCACAAGCCCGCTTACTAACTGAACCTACCCACATGTATTTATATGGCATAAGTTTTTGTATGCTGATTCTGTATTGTTAATAAACAAGTCTTTGCACATATTTACTTATGGATTTTTAATTTAATTAAGGGCTCAGCAGCAGCGTATTTGGTTCTTTAACTGTATTTAATGTTGTTAAATGATTTTATCATTCGTAAATTTGATGAAAATTAACTATTAGAATTCACTATACGAAACGTACATGCAAATAATATTTTTGGACTGAACAATACTTTTAATCCTTTTAATCTAAAAAAGATACATTACTTGTTTTGCAACCAAATAGCATTAGTTAAAGTTAAGAATTTAAGTGTGACAAATATTACGAATACAAACATATATGAGAATGGAAATCATCAGAGAATAAAGAAAACAAACACATGCTTTTATATCTAGCATAAATAAACGAAAAAGATTATATCATATATAGATAATTATTTATATAAGATATTATATAAATTTGAACTTCATTAAATTAACTAGTTCACGTTTTTACAATGTCAGAGGTAAGAAACTATTCATAACGAAGAACCCTTCACCCCAATAAATAAGGGATTTTTTGTATTTTTGGAGTTATTTGCAATTTGTATATGGAGGTTGCAAACATTCTGATAAAACTCTAAAGCCCACAGATAGAGAAGAGTCAATCTAGCCAATTCGTCTCTCAGTTTTTTAAGTCTTATAAAATTTATAATAATGAAACTTAGTATATTGCCCATATTACGAGACGTGAAGCTTTTGCGTTAAAACCCTGTATAGAGATACTAGCGGGTATAGCCCGGCCTTGCCCGTGGCACGTATATAAAAAATTTTCCCTAAAAGCTTTTGAAAATGATTTTGATGATCGCTTACCGTTCGATCAACTTTCATACAAACGTTTATTTTCCCAAATCGCTGAAAGTTAAGTTCTTATGTATCGCTTTTGCACTTTCCACCGTGAATGCTTTGATTTTGACAATACAGCACGTCTCAAACGAATTCATTAATTTCTTATGTAGAGCTTTGAAAATAGGTTTGTAGCAAATCGGACAGAACTTAAAACTTAGCCCAAAAAATCGTTGAAGCTCACTCCTACCGAAGAAGATTAGATTCTGCGAAAAGTGTGAAACACATCTCAATTAATTTATCATATAGATCTTTGGAAATAAATTTGAGAGCGAAACGTCACCCAGCAAATCTTTGACCCCCATTTCCAGCAAGGAGGAATGGATTTTCCAAAAAGTTTCATACAAACGTGTTTCGCGATTTTTCCATACTTGCGGGTGGAATTTCCCGAAACCCCGTCTTAACGTGCACCTTCATCCAATAAGGTAACTACAGTGAAAGTTTCAGCTTCCTAGCTCTGACGGTTTGGTCAGTCAGTCAATCAGTCAGTCAGTCAGTCAGTCAGTCAGTCAGTCAGTCATTCAGTCAGGACAAACAGTTTTATATATAGAGATAACAAGCGCGTGCTAAATGCATGCAAGTGTATATAACCTTCGGCTCTCGGAAGATGGCTGCCCTTTCTTCTTTTTCATTTATGCATGTGTTGTTGTTTTGTCTATTAGTATTATACAACTCAGAGCGGCTGATAAGAAGTATATAAACAAAATACCCATATCTGAGTATTTAAATGCAGCTTATTTCGTCTGCGGTTTTTCGAGTCGAAGCCCGCATTTAATTATTTAATTCAGCACACAGTATAATTTGCGAATTCCCCGCCCTTCGCGGAATTCGATTATAGGTCGTTTAAAAATAACAAAATAATAATAATAAAGCTTAAGATAATTAGCTGTCATGCTGTCTAAAATCATTTGGAAAATTTGGAAAATCATTGTAAATTTACAGAGATTAATAGCTTGATTTGGGTAAATGTGTTAAGTGGCATTTTACTATGTAACAGACAAATTTACCTGGCGTTGCCCGGCTCAAATTAATTAAGAGGTTTTTTGTGTGCAATTGAGGGAAGTAAAAAAATAAATGTTTTAATTTATAGAGCATACATATATTTATTTAAAAACAATTCGGGGGCTCGATCTCTACACATCATCCAATCATGCAAATAATACATAAGACAGTATAAAAGTTAACAAAAAAAAGAAAGAGGCTCTAGTCGGGAGTTTCCGACCAGACGAATACCCTGAACTCTCTTCTACCAACAACAAATGCAGCTCGCTCTACGTGCTCGTTTGCTTAAGCAGTAATAAAAAGAAAATGAAATTAAAAAAAAATATTTCCCTCATTAGGACTGGAACTCGAACTCGAACAGACCACTTGCCACTGTCTCTACTCAACAGCCAACCCAATAAATAATTGCTAATGAAAATAACGAATTAAAAGCGAAGCACATACACACACAGCACAGGAAACAATACAATCGCAGTTGCAATGATGTTGATGCAAACAGGTGGCCAGCCAAAACCCGTTTTCTTTAATAACTTTTGTGTTTTACCGATCTTTATGAAAAATCAATAGTAGATCTTCTTGTGATATACAATATTCGTATATTCTCAAAAAGACACTTGCATTAAAATTGTGGCTTAAATTACCGGGCAAGACAAATTGGTGTCTTAACTTGATTTATAGCTATGTGGTGGTAGTGGGGTGGTGGCGATAGCTATAAAATGAAATAAACTATATGTATTTATACTATCCAGAAGTTACATGTCAAGTTTGATGATTCTAGCTCTGAAAATCTCCAAAAACAGGGGAAAAGTTTTCGATTATCGGAAACAAATTCATACTGCACGGGCACTAGGAAAACCTACGTTCCAACGTTAAAGTCTCATATCGGTTCTGAGATCCTTGCGTTCATGCGTACGGACGGACGGACGGACGGACGGACGGACATGGCTAGATCGAGTCGGCCATTGATCAAGAATATATATTCTTTCTTTTTATTTCTTCTGACTGTTACATAGATTTGCACAAATACAATTTACCCCTTTTACCCATTTTTAATGGTTATAAAAATATAACAAAAGATTAATTTTAATTTTTATTATTAACATCCATTCGAATTTTATTTATTATAATTGCTTATTTTTGAGAATAACAAATTAAATAAACAATATTAATAATTACGCTGCAGCAAATGTGTTACCTCACTAAATATTACCGTATAGGCTTTTCGTTGGTCACCAATAAGGACAAACTATATATATATAAATATTTATATTATGCAAGATGAGCCTGCAAAACTTTCCGGCAGTCAAAGCATTATGTGTCGTTGCTCGGGTTCTGTTGATTGTTGTCCTTCACCGTACGGTTCGTATAGAGCGCATTAACTTTGACAAACAAAACAAAGCATAATATAAATGCATGCAAGTTAATATATATCTTAAAGGACAGGGGCACATTCTGAATTCGTAGAGCCCAATACATGTGATACTTATTGTCCAACAATACCCGCCATAAGCGCCGTATACGCAAAGTTCAAAAACGACCTTCTATAAAGCTATCTTTTATTTAATTTTAAAGAACATTTTTTCATGTGTTACATATTGCATACCAAAAATGCAGTACCCGCTGCATAAGCATAAGAGTAGCACTTATGCCACTTTAAAAAATAACCTTGGACCACTGTTCACGCACATTGCGTAACCCAGCTACCTTAAGGTCAAGCATCAGAGCAGCATTGATTAATGTGTACACAATGTTATCTGTACCTGGACTCGGTTTGTTTGGTTGACTTTAAATATTTGCCCAGTAATTTAACTGAGGAAAATATTCAATTATCTCGAACTCTTGACACAGATGTTATCAACTGCCTTGACTTGGGCAAATAGCAATTGGAGTTGCATGTCAAACGAGCTAAAAACTTGGCAATTAATTAATGACCGGGGTCATCTAACTAAAAGCTGCTCTTAAAATCAAGCTCCAATCGGCTGAGCAGCTCAGTTCACTCGAAGCTGCACTAGAAGCAGACTCACTGGGAAAAAATATGATGCTGATGCTACTGCTGCTGCTGTCTCCGCTGCTGTTTGGTGCTGCTGTAAGTTGACATTTGACTCTCATATTGCTTAGCTGTTTGATTGGGACTTTTTTCAACCCAGCAGAATGGTAAGGCCCTAATGCCTCTCAACGCTACGGGCAATGCAGCGAAAAAAATTTCAATTTTGCCACCGGCGCAACAGAATTCGGCATCAGTCAATCCGGAGGATATTAATCTCTTCACAAACATGTTCCTTAGCCTATTGAAAGGCACTGGCGATTGGCGCAATCAGGTGGCCATCGAAACGGTGCAGAGCGTGTGGCAAAGTCCGCCAATTGTTGACTACAGCCATCGGCTTTTTTCCACTTAGCTTTATAAATAATATATAGCCTTATCGGGGAAATGAAATTGTAGACAAATGTGTTTTCCAATAAATAAACCAAATCCACTTACCCAAAAGCATTCCATGCATTCCGACATCGGCCTATAAAAGCAGCTTCAATTTTTTATTGCCACTTAGAACATATTCGCCATGCAACTATCTAGGAACACCCTGTTGCTGTTGTTCGTTCTTGGAGCGTTGGTTAATCTTGCACGCAGCGGAGTTGTCAGAAATATCACCAGTGAGGCTGAAGACCCATTAGTTTCAGATGCCATTGATTTCGATATGAGTGCCAGCATAAGGAAATCAAAGGTCCAACTACCTCAGGTATGATTGAAATACAAATACAGATTGAAAAAATGTTTATAATTGAATTACTCTTAGAAAAACGCACAATCAGATATCCTTGACGCCGAAATAATTCCCTTCAGAAATGATTTGTCGCAGGTGCGATTTAGTCTTCATTAAACACATTTATCATTGGATACTATATTGTCTATTTGATTATTTAGATGAAGCGCCTGGAGTTAATGGACACCTGCAAAGGAATGGGTGCCAACTGCACGCGGTCTGAGGAATGCTGCACGCTCCAATGTTTAATGCTCAGCAAAGTGTGTTCCTTCTACTAAAAACCATGTAATGAATCATTTTAAATAAATAAGTTGCTGTGCACCTTGATTGTTTCTTTGACAATTCAGTTATTCAATTATATAAGAAATTGTCTCCGACTAAAGTTGTGGGTTGAATTAGCCAATAGCTACGGTAGTATGTTATAACATATATATTTTTAATAACAATTAAGAGAGCTCTAGTGGGGAACCCAGTAAAACTCTAGCTTTTTTTTATACATACATAACCAAAAACACATATTGACAAAGACACAGACACGCTGCGACTGTGCTTCTTCCGCCCTTAGCCCGAACAATGGAAAATGCAATCTTAATAAGCATCGGCTTTAATGGTTCGACACTCATGAAATTTTCAGGACATTAGTTTGACATCACAATGTGTGTATATATCAAAGCTCACGGCTATACCTTCAAAGCTGCGTTTTTATTGAAATTGTGGCGAAACTGTAAGTTTACAATAAGTAAAATATTCTGAAATTGTTTACCCTTTACAAGAACCTAATTCCTAAGTGTAGTGACACTTGCTTTTATAAGCCTCAATATTCCGAAAAAATAAATAAATTGAGCTATCGGTCATTTGAGACTGGCCCACGTTTCAAATTTAAAGTCCCTAGCTCTTTTAGTCTCCGCGATCGACGCCTTCAACAACAGACCGCACTACTTGCCGCCGTCTCTACCCAACAGCCACACCACTAGCTGTTTGATTAAGTCTCAATGAAAAAAACAAAAAAAAAAACGGACTAAAACAGCAGCACAGAAAACAATACAATCGCAATTGCAAAGCTGTTGATAGAATTCAAAGAAGACGCTTATGATTGTGTGTGTGTACATGTTTGATACCCAAACTCGAGGCCAGCCAAAACACATTTTCTTTAATAACTTTTGTGTTTCCTAATCGATCTTAATGAAATTTTCTAAAATACATCTTATAGTGCTATACAATATTTGGCTATTCTGAAAAAGTCAATTGCATTAAAATCGTGGCTTAAATTGGTGGGCAATACAATTTGGTTAATTAACTTGATTTATAGTTTTGTGGTGGTAGCGGAGAGGTGTCGATAGCTATAAATGAAAGATACTTGATATATATACATTATTCTAGAAGCAACATATAAAGTTTGGTGACTCTAGCTCTTATTATTTACCCAATTAGCTCAAAAAACAGGATTTCAATATCGATTTTTATCGATTGCTTGAAAACGGAGTAATTTATCGATTATCGGAAACAAACTCGTACTGCGCATGAACTAGGAGGACCTACATACCAAATTTCAAGTATCTAGTTATTATAGGTTCTGAAATCCTTGCGTTCATACATACGGAGGGACGGACAGACGGTCAGACAGACGGACGGACATGGCTAGATCGACTCGGCTGTTGATGCTGATCAATAATATATATACTTTATGAGGTCGGAGATGCTTCCTTCTGCCTGTTACATACATTTGCACAAATACATTATACCCTTTTTACCCATTTTCAATGTGTTCAGGGTATAAACATCTGGCCAGTCAGATATTTACAGTATGTTCACAGTATATACAAATGAATCGAACTGCATTTATGCTTATCGTCTACAATGTTTTCTTTGAACAACATTTTTAATGAAAACAAGCAAGAGTGCCTTAGTGGAGAGGTTCAGGGTCTAACGAAATATTCAAATATTCGAGGCGTGTATATACACGAGAGACTACAAACCAGACTTGGCTCTATAACCTTCCAAATGCTATATATTGATTTTTAACGATTTCGCTACGTTCGAAATCTCTAGCATTTGCAATTTCTGAGATTGATGCGTTCGTAAGTGCAGACGGACAGGATGGACAAATGTTTGTCCAGACAGACGAACATGTCTAAATCGACTCAGTTCATACTGAGTATCAGGAGGTATCAGGGATATCAAAGATATGTCCTTCTGCCTGTTGCATACGTTTGCTCTAGGCCATTATACCCCTTCTAAACCAATATCAATGGCTGCAGGGCATAATATTTTATGTATTATATACCGATATCGAAATCATTTTCTTGCATAAACAACAAATAAAAACAGATGTAAGCCAGAAGTACATAGATACATACATATGACTTATATGGTCACTGTTGCCTATAAAAGCTCGAATATGTATGAATTGCATACAGTATTAATTGTGCAATTACTATATTAAGAATGCAAATAACTTTGTGCGCATTACTTTTAATACATTTTCTGGGAATGGTCCAACTTGTGGTTGCGGAAGAAAATATTCCCAGAATACCGTTGAAAATGATTCCGGTCACTAAGAATCCCGCTAAAAAATTGTCACAGGTGCAGTCTGCATAAGCATATGTTAAGATTGTACATATATTACAAAAATGTCTACATATATTATATAATGTTTTTCATCCTGTTGCTTTCAGCCAAAACGGGTAAATCTACGTTTGAGGTACAAAAACGATACCAAAGTTATGGCCCACTCTAAGCATTTGTCACAGGTATGGATTGAAGTAAATTACATTTAACAATACAATTTTGTAATCGCAATTGAAATTTCTTCTACCGATCTGCTTTTAGAGAGAGCGCTTGACAATATTTGAAGACTGTCAGCCAATAGGTGGAGTGTGCAGAGTGCCAGAGGATTGTTGCACCCTGAAGTGTTTAAAGCTTTCCAAATTATGTGTTATTTAAAATAGGATTTGGTCCATCAAAATGAAGTCAATCACGAGATAACTGCATACTTGCTTTAATTATGTATATATCGTATATCCTACTAATTATTATCATTATTAAGTATTATTAATAAACAGAGAATTTGACAGAAGGTACTGTTATTCAATATTCAATATTGCTGTCCTACTTCTATTAGGGCTGCTGCTAAAGCATGGTGTGAGACAAAGAATATAGTCTCTGCCGAGCATGGCCCGAGTGCGTTGTGTAGCGTTCAGTTTGGTGTTCAGTGTTGGGTGTTCACTAACAGTACTAAAAGTCAAAGTAGAGTATTGAATGAAAAGAGAATAAGTAGTGCGCTAGAGGACTAGGAAAATCTTCCTATTCGAATGTGCAGGTCATTGTTTAACGGACGTACTTTTGAGAAGACACTTTGTGCTGCCAGTATGCCTAATTATAAGGAAAATGATTTCTCTGCTCCGACATATATATAAAGGAAAAACAAAGCAAATCAGTACCAAATATTACATTTCCAATTTTATAACATTCAATTTGTACCATATTTCAAAATAATGTGACGGCGTTGCATACCACAAATATATTAATCTCTTAAGAATTATATAAACGAGAGTGCGCGACTAGAGGATACAACGTTCACACGTAGAATAAATACTTCCCTGAAACACTTGAATATTAAAGATTAAAGATCAACTTGATTCGCATCCGTCATTCCTATTAATTTTTATACCCCGACCCCATTGAAAATGGGTAAAAAGGGTATAATATATTTGTGCAAATGTATGTAACTGGCAGAAGGAAGCATCTCCGACCCCATAAAGTATATATATTCTTGATCAGCATCAATAGCCGAGACCATCTAGCCATGTCTGTCTGTATTTCCGTCCGTCCGGCCGTCCGTCCGTGCGCTTGTCCGTCCGTCCGTATGCATGAACGCAAGGAACTCAGAACCTAGAAGAGCTAGAGACTTGAAATTTTGAACGTAGTTCCTTCTAGTGCCCCGGCAGTACGCTTTTGTTTCCGAAATTCGATAATTTGCCCCGTTTCCAAGTAATCTATCTATATATATCAAGTGTATCTCATTTTATAGCTATTGCGAGTGCACAACATAGCTATAAATTAAATATATAAACCAATTGGAACGACCCACCAGTTTAAGGCACAATTTTAATGCAATTGTCATTTTGAGAATATACGAATATTCTATAGCATAATAAGATGTACTCATTTTCTTTTTCTCTCTCTGTCTCTCCCAGTCTTCCTCACTCTTTCTAGAATAAGATTCTATATATCTCTTATCTCCATCTCTTTTTCTCAATCTCCATTATTAACCGCCTGGCTCTCTCTCTCTTTTTCTAATTCTCTCTTTCTTTCTCTGTCTCTCTGTCGCTATCTCTCTGGCAGCCCCTATCTCTAGCTTTCTCTCTCTCTCTCTTCCTTTCTCTCTCCCTGTCTCTGCCTGTCTCTCTCTATTTGTCTCTCTGCCTTTCTCACTCTCTCTCTTTTTAATTCAGCATTCAGTCGGCTGGCATTAATAAACTGTATCAACTGACACGCCCATCAAGCACCCATTGACAGTAATGTGAATTGAAGCACAATCAAATGGCATCTGTTCATCAATTTGTGTGTTTCCAAGACCTAACCCACACATAAACACACACAAACACGCAAAAACATACAAACACGAAAACACACACGCACACACTACAGCGGCAAACAATATTTCCGCCAGTGCAGACAATGCGACTGAGTCGTCATGCAAATTTTTATATTCATAGACATGCATTGACACATACGCTTACATATACAAGCGCACCCCCCCCCCCCCCCTCCCCGCCCGCTATTCACAAACCCACACATACACACGTATCTCAAGTGATATATTTTTTGCGGCACACACAAAACCAATACAATGAATTTAGACAGCAATTGTTTGGTTGTGTTGTTGTTGTTTCTGTGTTGTTCAACTGTTAGTTGGATCCTTTGTATATTTTATCGGCATATTCAATATGACAACATATTTGTGGTGTATTTTGTTATTACAGCTGTAAAATTTAAAGCCCCATTGTGAAGTTTATCTAAAGCTGTTTAAGCAATTAGCATTTGATTCAAATGCAGCCTATTGCCACTTTATGCGTAGCTGCTCAACCATATGGTAAACAGAGCTGCGACTTTAATTTGAGCAAGTGCTCTTATACAAAACTAAATAAACAGAGAGTTTTGATGGCTTTCAACTATACTTTGATACCCTAATTACGATGCTGATTTGATATACGAAAGAGCTCGTGTTTATATTTTTAAAGCTAATCGAACTCCAAGTCGAAAAAAAAAAAAACGATTTAAAATCACATATTTTTTAGTTGCATCGAATCTTATAGACCTCTGGC